TAAGCCAGTTTTGCAAGATTCACAGGCCGAGAAAAAGTATAAATGCTTCAGCAGCCTCTTGGGGCATTTGCCCAACACAGGGACTTCTGGATTCCAGTCCTTGCTCCTCGTATTGCGTTTTGTCATGCAGTTTCCAAGTGCAATGGCGTATTATTCTCTTCACAAGCTATGTTATCTCTGGCAAGAAGCATAATTTGATAGTGACCACCACGGCAGCTCAAGTCTCTCTGAATCCAGACAGCCATTATCCCGCTCTTCATCTCTGCCTCAGGCAGTGTATTCCCACTCCCTCTCATATGCTGTCCCCAGCACTTTTGTAACTGGGAGCCATTTCAGCTGAATCGCATACATACATACATACATATATGTGTGATTTTTTTTTTTCTGTGTTAATTCCTACCTGAGCCATTTCACCCCATCACACACGTGCTACTGGCCACAAAGACGTGCATGACATTTGCGCATTTGCTTAGGGACATGGTTTAGTGGTGGGATGGCAGGGTTAGGTTAACGGTTGGACTTGATGATCTTAAAGGTCTTTTCCAGCCTAAACGATTCTATGATTCTGTGATTCTATGAGAATGCACAGCTCCCAGGAGCAACATCTTAAAACATTCCTGTACTCAGTACCGCCTGGCTAACTAGCTTAACTAGTTTGCTGATTTAAACCAGATCTCGTGCAATTCTTTGCATGGATCCATTAAGAGACCCTAGGTGACCAACTTAAGGCTCACTATTTTACTGCAGAGATTTGAATACTTTGAAAGTTTATTTTTATGGCACTACACACTTTTGAATCCAGGTTGTTGCTTCTGGCTCAGGGTTAGAGTTCATTGTTTCAAACCAGAACTTACAACCTCAGGCAAATCCCCTAAACCCGCTTTAACAGTAGAAACAGTTACTAAAAAATCATGGCTTACGGGCATGGCTACTTAAAAAGAAAGACTGTAAATTTGTTGTCAGGAGAAAACTGTAAATGAAGAGTTACTTGCAATGGATAGCTATGAAACAGGACCTGGAAAAGTTCCTGTGCAATGATACTTGTTTAATTTAATTTCTTTTTATATTAAGGTGACCATATAAATAGGTAACTCAGCTCTGTGTGCTTTTAAAAAAAACCCAGGAGTTTATAAATAAGGTTTATTTGCTTACATTGTATAAACAGAAACATTGTACTGAAACTTAAATGCATTTAGTATGTTGCTGTTTCTATGAATGCTTATATGTATAAAATTAGGTATTTTATATTAAAATTTTCAAGTGGGCACTAATACTTTTATGGAAAGCTCCTTGCTAATAATAATGTTCCTCTGTGGGAGGAATTTATATGTCAAACTAGTGGTAAAAATTAACATTACCCATTCAAGACTAAAGCACACCCCCATGTATTTAATTGTGTGTAAGAAAAAGAACGTATGTAAGGGCACCATCTGCTGACAGGTTCCGGGTGCCAAATGCTTTCCTGGATTTTCAGATATAGGGGAAAATACTGTAAGTTCAAACCTCACATATATTAGAAAGTATTCATATTAGTTTTGGCTTGATTTTAAGGAGAGTTCAGACTTGGTATTGTTACAAAATAGTTTTGTTTCAGCTTCATTTTTGCATAGTGAGCTTTTGGTCTGATTTTTTTCCTTCTGCAAGTGTTAGTCTGGAGTTCTTTTGCTAGAAAGTGTCTTCAAAATGTCCTCAGTGGGACAAGAGAGCAAGACACATCATTACATAAAGAACATTATGCAATGACAAATCAAAATGAAAAATTCTATTTTTTTTTCCATTTTTGTTTCAATGCATCCTTATTCGGATATTTAGGTGGAAAAGAAGAGATCACGTAGCTATAGAAACCAGGCAGTTTGACCATCAATCTGCTGCCAGTCACTGTTAAATAGCGTTTCTTTTTCTTCAGGCTGGTAACTTTCTATGTCATACAACACAAGAATCTGCAGTGGAAGTAATTCATATTGACTTACTGCCAAAATGCGCAGGGAAGAGCAACTGCCAGCGCGATCTGAAACGTCAGAAGAAGATTAGCGGGGAGCAGCTTGCAGTACAGGATATTCTGCTGGGAACTAGGAATTATCAGAGCTCAGGCAAAAGTTAGTTACTCTCACAAAGCTACCCAAACCTGCAGGTTTAATACTTCGCATTTTATCACAATTTACAGCTGGCCTGGGCGTCAGTGGGCAGTTCCTGAGCATCCACTGAATATCTTCTTATATTATTACAGGTTTCTTAACTTACAGAAGAGAACAAAAGCTGTTTTTACAAAAAGCCTTCATTTATGCAATTTTTCACATAATTTAGTTGCAGCATCCTGCTGCCAGGAATTTGGTGGATTTTGAATAAGGTTTCATTGTGCAGAGTGAGTGCTGCCTATCCGAGGGGTGCCTCTGCAGCAGATGGCATGTCCCATTACTCTGGCTTGTTTTCACCTGTCTGTCCTTGCACTTCCAGCTCTTTTATACAGAATTCTGTGGCAGAAAAGCAAAGCTATCTAAAGAAATGACCAAGAGAAGCAAAAAAGTCTGGTTTTTTGTGATGGTGAGATGCTCTAATTCAAAGCACTTGTACATTCACGTTACACACACAAAAAAAGGATTTTTTAGGACAAAAGAATTTGAATGATATACACTGCAAAGAAAACTAGTTTCAAGTGCATTTATTTTGAAATAAACAAGAATATTATATGCATATATTCATATTAAATAACTTATTATTAAATATGAGAAAAAATGCTCTTAAAAACTAATCTGACACTTTCACATTCTATTTTATATTAAGTGAATATAAGTTAGGAAATATATAGAAAAATGATAAAATTGTCTCAAGCCAGCCAGAAAAGCAAAGTGCACTATTGCCTAGGGCAGTGAAGGAGCAAAACGATGACAGTGCTGCTGCTGCTTCCTCCAAGGGGAGGATCGCTGTGCGTGGGCAGTAGTGATTGCAGAGGAAGGACGGGAACCCCTTCAATAACTCCCTATCCTTTCCTCCCATTTTTTGTCCATCATCACCGAAGTAGCAAATTGGCTTTTGCATATGCTGACAAGAAGCAGTGAGACAGTTTTGCGTACCAAGACGATACACTGAATACAATTAATTCCCTAAATGATCACACAGGGATTGCAGCTTATCCATGTTTTATTGTGTCTTCATCCCAATTTATTTGTTTTTGCTTGCTGTCAGTAGCTTAAGGATGCCAAGGTGGAAATCTGGTAAGTGTTTACCATGAAATATTGACTAAAGTAGCATCCTTCAAAAGCTTTCTGAACTGGCTTTTTCTCAGATAAAAAGTCACAGCTTAGCACTTTTTTTTTTTTTTCTAAGGTTCACAGAGTGGAATTTCTTAAAAACCATCTTCCTTTTCATTTTGTTTTTATTTTTAGCAGAGATGAATCTTGTTATAGATTAAACATTTCTAAACTTAGGTGTACTTACACAGATGCTATACATCTTTTCTATTCACATGTGATGTACAATGGAATTTGAGCAACATGTGCACTAAATATAATTTTGAGAAGTTTGCTTACAGGTATTTGGAGTAATAAAAGATTTAAACCCATTATTTTGGTTCTATTTTAATTGTCAGACTCCACCAACTATTTGCCTTTCTGATAACAACTTCCTGACATTCGTTTTAGCGTATGTATATTCAGCTCAAAATATTTCAAGGCACACATTGTTCCTAGATAGATACAGACTTATTTAATGTCCAGTGAACCTTTTCAAGAAGGATATAAGAAATACGGGCTCATGTTTGTTTGGGTTTAATTCAAACCACCTAACAATCATCTTGAAAGGGAGTAAGGCAAAACACTGCTGCTGAATAGCAAAGGAAAAATTTACAGAATATGAAACCCAAATGTAACAGTGTCCTTACCACTGTTTCAGTAACATCTAAACCTACAGGGCATGAAAGGTCATGGTGGCTACTGGTTGTTATCTGTAGTCTCCATAAACTTAGTAAGGCCTAATTTATGTCTAACATTTGATGCATAATATTCCAATAAAATTACTTAGAGAGTGTTGCTCTGTACTGCTGCATGCATTCATGTTTTGTTTTGCTTTTTTGTTTGACACAAACACAAGTTATTTATCTATTTTTCAGATACTGCATTCCAGAGTAGCAAATTAAACAACTATAACTTCTACTCGGTGCCACATCTTACTTCACATAAAAGTGCACTATTCACAAGAAACACGTGAAGTTTTACTCTACCAGAAATATATCAGTGAACTTATATGTATGGCGATAAAATTTATAAGAAATACTACAAAGTGTGTGTTACTTAACCTGAATTTGAACATTTTGAATTTTCTTCAACATACAGCTCAATAAGACATCTTAAAATCTGTACTATATTTTTTTAAAGGATAAATTAACAAATGTCATAGTAAGACTTGGCGAATCTGAACAGTATAGTTCATACAGTACCTTTCCTAGGTAAATACCTATCATTCACATTATAACCATAACAGCTTTACTCTTTTTAAAGTAACAGCTTTGTTAGCTTCTAAGAATTTAATTTGTACATTCAACTTGTATGGAATTGTTATGCTACTTAGTGTATTCTCATTCCCAATTTAGCACAAACTTTTAATAGTGCTCTTCTGAAAGCAAATTCACAGTCTAAGCTGACATGGGGCAGTTTCTCTTCATTGCCAAAATGTTTGCCTACCCAGGTGTAAAACTTATTTTTGTTTTCTTTTAAATGACAAACATATCTCAAAATAATAAAAAATAATATTAAAATGTATTATTAAATTAATGTATTATTAAAAAAAAAGACTTTTCCCAGTCAGGTGATAGTTTATCATTCAAATAAAATACATACTTAAAAGCGGTTGTAAGAGCTGATGATCACTACATTAAGTGGAAAAGAAGTCCTGTGTTTTCTACTGCAGCTGGAAGATTCACGATTCACCTGGGTTAGTTTGTTCTTCATTAAGAATTCACACGAATAAATAGTTCTAGCCAGTGCAGATAATCCTTCTTTCTTCCTTTATCTCAGCATATCTCGTCTCCGAAATTGCTTCCATAGATCTCTGAGATGTTCACTGGTTACAGTCATCACGCAAGAGTAATATTCCTTCCAACCATACTTTGGAGTCTCCTGTGAAAAGTAAAAAAAAATATGATTGGAAAAAGATATTGTTCCCTAAATTCCTTAGTATTACATTAAATTTGGTTCACACTCACACAAACTAGATACATGTTTTCCTATTAAAATCAGGAAAGATCAAGTACTTCTACGGCTCAGAAGTACTTCTATGGCTCAGAAGTACTTCTGTAGAATGAGGGTCATAAATCCATACATGGGTTAAGAATTCAAAATGCATCCTCACCTCACAGCACACAGTTAGCATTCAACAAATAGCCTATGTATATTAAAAGCTGTAAGACCTTTCCTCTTTATTCAGGTATGTCCTGCTCTCTCTCTAGTTTTGTTTCTTGCTACTTCATGTCAACTGAACGGTTGGACTTGATGATCTTAAAGGTCTTTTCCAACCTAAATGATTCTAACGATTCTATGATTCTATGACTGTACTGAAAAATTCACCTCTAACACCAAATTAAAAGCATAGAAAATTATTGATGTTCATGGAACTGAGGCGTTAACAAAAGCCAAATACAAAATAGGCAGATGATAGAAAAGCTTCTTTATACTAGGTTACTTTAATCCTAAATCTCATTGTAGCTCACTGACATTAGTAAGGGCCCACTGAATGGAGAGGAGTATTGTCCAAAGACTGGCCTGGGAGATTCGCTAGACTCTACACTGCCTGTAGTTATCACTGGATCTCACTATTTCTTTGTTATTCCTAAGTTCACAAGCCTATTTTGATAGAAAATACAGAAAGATGGAGAGGGGCTAAATATTTCAACTGGGGAAAGAGGCTCAGTAAGGAACAGGAATTGCAGTTGTAGATAAGTGAGAAGCTTAAAATTCCAAGTAATTTTACATTGTAATCCATCTTCAAAATTAAGTCCAGTATCTGGAGGCAGATGGTGTCAAGGTGAGAGATTGTCTGATAGCTTGTTTTGGTTGGACTGGCTGAAGAAGCTGAAAATATTGTGACATTGCAGCATTTTAAAATCAACCATTAGAGAGTGAGGCCTACATTTCATTTATTCTTATTACTCATCTTGTATAATTAAAAAGCACAGAACATTATGCAGAAGTTGTAAATACTCAGAAAACAACCTAAGCCACAGCACTATATAATCCAGACTTTAAATGAAATATTAGAAACAATACTTACACGAATGCGTAATTACATTGAGATTTATGGTCAATCTTATGAAAAAAAATGCATTACTTGCAAAATGCATTGCATTATTTAAAAAAAAGCACATTCAGTTGATTAACCAGTGCTTTGAGATATGAATTTATTTTTTATTTTATGAAACAGGTTCAGAGGAATGTTCATGAAAATCAGTAAAAGAAACACTGAAGTACATTAACTGTTCATCTACTTATTTCTAGTGTATGGAGTGTTGTTGTATCTACCCTCAGCGTACCAAATCCATAGAAAGAACATTTTGTCCACATACTCTGCAATGCTTTCACATTTCACTGGAACATTTTCCTACCACTGTACCCAGGTACATTTTTATGGTTCTAGTCAGTTTTAGGATCAAAAGTCTGGGTTCTGTAATTCCCAGTTACTTTTGTAAGATGAGTGGATAAGGCACGCCTATCACACACTTCCTACTTCATTTGCTTTAGAGAAGAGGTAAGCAACAGCCTCTTCAACAAGCAAGCAACGTCCTCTTAGTTCTTTTTAAAAGCTGTCTCTTACGATAGATGTATTCAACTGCTGTATATTAGGAAAGTATGGAAATTCAAAGCTTTCAAAATGTTAACTGCATGACACATCTTAATGTTGCTTGACTGAAGCATTTATAGAAGACAGCAACTTATTGTTGAGACATGACTAGCAATGAGGGCCTGAATTCATGCTTGGGTCTTTCATGTCTTTCTCAAAATGAAATTTCCTTTCCCAGTCAGTCCCAGGACTCTGTAGCTATTAACTGTTACTTCCTAAAACCCTTTAATCAGAAATTTAGAAGCCCCACAAAATTCAGAACATCTGGAAAACAGTTCTTTTAATGCAAAAATCGTAAGATTTTCAAGAAATTACTGGGACTTACAACTTACTTTCTAGATTTACAATTGTGACATCTAATACTTATTTTCAATACTTCAGAAGCGAACAAAATTGGAATTACAGCTGCAGTATCTATTACAGTTACTGAGCACACAAATAGTTTGGCAAACAGTACTTTCAGATGGACTTGAATCCCTCCTGAAGTTGGCCTCTATCATCCTTCGGAAATTAGCTTTGGAAGGGCTTCGTTAGAAATTTCCTAGACGACCCTTCCATAAGGCATTCGAGATAGAGTTCTCCCCTCAGCTCTGTTAGGCAGCTCTCTACTCATGTGTTTTTTTCTGCTCGCCCTGCGGTGTATGCAAAGGCATACCTGCCAGTGCGGAGCCAGGCTGCGGGCCCTGCAGGGAGAGCGATGCAGGGAGACAGGCTCTGGCAAACACCGTCTGAACCACACAGAGCTTGTACAGTTATTCCCCAAGGAGAGATTTTAATTATTTATTATAAGGGTATAATGTTCTTTACGCTGTTATGTAAATTGCATTAGTGCAATTTAGAGATATGTAATGTACAGCACAATGTGCTGTTCATCCCTTTTCAGGGTGCAGATTCAAAGTACGGTATAATCTACGGTACCTACGCCAGTCATCTTAATCTCTTTCATCAGAGTTCTACATTTACCACAGAAAGTATATCAAAGCAGAGACAATGATCTGTACATCTATATCTGGAACGAAGTAAAATTAAGAGTTATTGTATCGCACCTAACTTTGGGATGTAATTGCAGCAGATTTTTGTATTTCACATAGATTTATGTGGTTTTTTGTACATCAGACTGAAATTTCATTTGCCAATTGAAATTGGTCAATTTCAAATCTCCAATGATTCAGTATTTTTATCTTTTCAATTTATAAACTAAATAGAAAATACATTTTTTTTAGAATTATGTAAATTCACTTTCACTCCACACTGTACAGCAAAGACAGACAGTTCTGTTCTCCTCCACAGTAACTAACTCCAAATCACTTCACATGTGTTTTGGCTAAAGTTTCCCTTTCCATTAACTGACACTTGCAACAAACTTTAATAAATATTTACAACAAATTTGAAGAAATACTGTAAGTTAAGTAACACTCTGCACAAAAAGGAACTCAGAATAGCTAACAACTGGATATGTTACTGGAATTTACCACAAGAGACAAGGAGCAGTTGCTCAAGTGAAGAGCAGCAGCTGACTGATGTGTCTGCAGAGACAAGGGAATTTTATGTATTTGAGGTTTTCTTCCTGGTTTCAGTTGAGGTAGTTACTTTTCTTTCTGGTAGCTGGCACAGTGCTGTGTTTTGGATTTAGTACTAGAAGAATGTTGATAACACACGGATGTTTTTAGTTGTTCCTAAGCAGTGCTTACACCAGTCAGGGACTTTTCAGCTTCCCCTGCTCTGCCAGGTGCACAAGAAGCTGGGAGGGGGCACAGCCAGAGCAGCTGACCCCAACTGGCCAGAGGGCTATTCCAGACCATATGATGCCATGCTCAGTATAGAAACTGGGGGAAATTGGCTGGGGGGCAGCAATCACTGCTCGAGGATGTGCTGGGTATCGGTCAGCAAGTGGTGAGTGGTCACATCACTTGTTTTTCCTGGGGTTTATTCCTCCCTCTTTTTTTTTTTTTTCCCTTTTCACTACAATTTAAAAAAAAATTATTTTATTTCAACTATTAAACTGTTCTTCTCTCAACCCATGAGTTTTCTTACTTTTGCCCTTCCGATGTTCTCTCCCATCCCACCAGGGGGGCGAGGGTGAGCAAGCGGCTGTGTGGTACTTTGTTGCCAACTGGGGTTAAACCACAACAGGTTTACACTGCATTCCTGAGCGCACAGGGAACAGATATCCGATGTGTAGTGTAGCCATACTATTATTCAACTTTAAATTTTTTTTCTTGAGAATGACTTTATACAGAATGAACAATATCTCCCGTTATAAATCTCCACTGAGTGTTTTCCTTCCAGTTTACTCCATCTCAAAAGATGAATGAATGAATTTATTGCCTGAATTCAGATCTCTGTCAAGGTGTTGATGTATGTAAACTTTATGCTTTTACCATGGTCTCTCTTCTTCTCACCAAGCTAATTTTATTAGGCTTGAGGATTAGATGTTGGATTCTTTTGTGTCACTGCATTTTGTTCCACCTGGTCACATAACCTTCACTGAAATTACTCAGAAAGCATCATGACTGTACAGCATTTTGCCAGTTTTCTGTAAGAGCTGTTCAATATCTTGAAAAGTTTACAGTTTGAACAATACTTGATATGCAACCACAATGTAGGTTATGGCAGAATTAGCGGGGACAAAAAGACAAAGTACTCCTAAAATGATTTTTAAAAAGACATGGGAAAAGAACAAAGGAAGTTTTGAGAGTCAAAAGTTTCAGAGATGAAGTTACATAAAATTAATCTAAAGCTACGAATTTCCTCCTATGTGCCTGGTGACTTGGATTACTAAAATGTTGAATTATTTCACTAGTCATTTACACTTCCCAGTGCACATTCCTACCTCCCAGAAACCAGTCACTTTGTTGGTTAAGATCAAATTTCCTTTTCTGTTCCTCACATATTAGTACAGTGCTTCAGTATTTGAGTTACACTTATAAAGAGGAAGTATAACTTAAAAAATGTTAATCAAAATAATAAAGAAATAATCCTATGGATGCTAAATGTTATATGTACAAGAAGACTATGCAGATCAAATGTAATTTGTCTTCCTTCTAGGAGGACAAATCAGCTGTATAAGCTTGGACGTGCCCCAAGCCATCTCTACTGATGAATTTAAAATAACCAGCCTGTTCAAAAGATGTGACACTTCACTGTGTGCCCCAAGCCATCTCTACTGAAACCAGCCTGTTCAAAAGATGTGACACTTCACTGAAAAAGAAATGGCACGAAGAGTTTCAGAGAACACAGTTTGGGGTACAGGACATGCTGTGCCATTGGAATAGGTCAATAGTTTAGATATATTCCCTCTCCCTTACCTATCTTGCACAGGACTCTACAAAAGAAAAACATCAAAACATGGTGGGCTACCAGTCTGGGTAAATGCACCCCGCCTCTCATCCTTACAGCCATCACCCCAGATAAACAGGATCCAAGAAACTTCTGCTTAGTTTACCTACATTCCTTGCTTTCCTGCCATGCTGCTTCAGAGTTAGGGAAGAAAGATTTAAATCAGAGGCCCAGCTCACTCAGCGGAGTACGAGTGCTCAGAGAGGCATGTGATAGGAAAGGGGACGATTCAGAAGGTCAGATGCCAATATGCTGATGTATGGAGGCATCTGAAGATGGTTATTTGACAAGAAACCTCAGCTTAATACTGTGCTTCTGTTTATCAGAATTAAAGACAGTCAAACCCTCCTGGCTCCGGAGCGCGAGGTGGGCTGGCTACTCCGCCTTGTTTGTCATAGTGTACATCTCTGTGTTCTTCACCTCTGCAAAATAATGCATCTGGGACCTATGTGAGCTGTTAGCAGCCTTCATAGCAACTACAGCAAAGTCTATGAATATAAACAGGAAAGAAGTACTGGCATCAAAACCTTAAACTGTAAAGGAGAAAATTCTTGCTTTATGTAAGAAGAGAAATGTCAACTAACACATTTCTGCTGTGCCCAGCGTGTGGCAAACAATTTCACAATATGGCTACAGAATATGCACACCCCAGTTATTACACTGAAACCAACAGTACAATCTAATTGTAAGAATGAATATTCATGTAGTGGATATGCAGAAATAGCCATGGTGGTCATGTGTGGGCACAGTGCCGATTTTTGAAAATTGCTGGTACAGCACTGATCGATCCAAAACCACATTACTGTTTTTAGAAGTGTAGCTGTATAAATCAAAGTGGAATTAAAGTTACTGGCAGTCTCTCAGGAAGAAAAACCTGCCTCTACAGTCTTCATTGGTAAATACTTATTAGCTATAAGTATCTGAGAAACTATCTGAAAAGTGGTCACAGGACAGACAGAAAACAGCAACAGAAACTATGAAAGAATACTTTTCCTTCTTTCAAACATAGTACAAGATCATAGCTGGCTTACAAAACAGTGACAGCGCAAGTCAGTCATTGCCAACTCCAGAATAGAATTCTATTGCTTCAGTCAAACACACAACGTGACGCTTTGAGCTACTACATTGCTTACAGTCAGGTAACCCATTCCTGAATTTTGGCACGGGAAACAAAGCAGTGACAGTTTAACATTCAGCCATTCCTGCAAGCATGCCAGCACACTCAGACTGGGCGGCTAACACATACCGTCATTTATCTGCTATAGAGTTCCTTCCTCACGCAGGATTTGAAAGTAGTATACCTCTGTATAGGTTTGTAGCCCTGTGGAGCAGAAGATGGAGAAGTGCGCAGATGCAGACAACATGTGAAGGCAGCCAGAGGTAAGCGTAAGACAACGGTATCATGAAAATACAAAAAAATGGCTTTAAGTGACGAATAGCTAGAAGATACAGTATAGTATGTGCTAGATAAAATGTTTATCAGTCATTAAGTTCCAAATCTTTCAGTTTAAAACCGGAATTTATAAAGGAAAGGGAATCTTCTTATATATTTTTAAATTAAAAAAAAGGAAAGGAAATAACTATTTTAAACCAAACAGCAAGCAAAAATAAAGCTTTTCATGTCTGCACATTTTAGTACGTTTATGGCAATGCTCTGACTGACCACTTGATGGCAGCTTAATATACTAGTTTGTTTCAAACTTCTAAAACCAAAAAAGGTTTCAGATTACACTACTAGATTCCAGAAAGAGAGAAATTTCATTTGATAAACAGTTTGAGACATTTACTTTTCAAAAAACATATCTATAATATATGTTACAATGAATATTATTCTGTTCCTATAAGGGGTAGTACCTGACCTTCCTTGAGTTTGTAAGTTTATGGCTAAGCTTTTAAACAGGACAAAGCTGGTAGGTACTGACAGACCTTTCAGACCTCCAGTTTCACTGGACTTGCTCTTAAATATGTTTGCTTTAGTCAGACTATGTAACCACAAAATGCCCTTTTCCAAAATACATGGTCCTACTGCCAAGCTCTGTGATGCCTTCAAGATTCTTCTGGGCAAACATTTTAGTAAAACAACTTTTAAAAAAGGTGAATTACTAAGTATAAGATGTCAATTGAAAAATCATACTTCAAATCATAGGCCTATTTTTAACTGTTATTTTTAGACGTTTTTATAAACTGATAATCGGAGACTACATTGATTTGGGCAGACATTAATTGTAGGATACTTAACATTAAAATCGGGCATTTACACTTTGCAGACAGGTTCAAAATTCTCACGGCAAAAAATGCCACGTTGCTACAAAATATGGCATAAGCAGAAGCTATACTGTTCTTTTATCTGTATAACGGAACTGACCAAATCTTAATGTGGATTCGAAACAGTTATTACCAAAGAAAAGGTTAGTGATTTGTTAGTTTTGATTTAGCACAAGACAACATCTGAGCCCTCCACACTGTAGGAGCAAGAGAGTAAACTTTTACTTGTCCTGGCCACGCTAAATACTGTGTAACTTTTAATGTACAAACAATAGGAAGAAAATAATGACACTTTGTGCCAATTTTTTCTGGGCAAAAGGTTCTTATGTGTTTTATTCTTTTCATTCTAAAGCAAGATTGGCTTGGGTGGGGGTGTTTTTTTAAACTGAAAAGGCAAATTTTTGCAGAATTTTTGCTACCACCTGCTCTTGGAAAAATCAGGTTTGTGTGACACTTACGAAAACTTACTGGAAATTGTAATTCCTAAGTTTGGTACTGTAATTGTCTTAGAATACTGCTGATTAGTGAAGAGAATGCATTTTTCTGAATAATCTAACAAGTCGGCATGTAGGCATGTCTGAATATAAATGAATTATATGACCAAATCATGATCATCTCCAATGCAATCCAGGAGATATCTCATATCTAATTAAAATTAGGCATATAATTTAGGAAAGACCATGCTATTCTTCTGAACATCCTTGGCTATCCTTTATAGATCTTCTATAGTCCACCGGAATATTTTATAGTGGCCAAGGCAAACGAAAGCTACATGCATAAGACTGAGTAGTGCTGGATGATATAGGTTCTTAAGGATTGTATGTGATTTCTGTCATGCATTTTGTGAAATAGAAACATGTAATACATTTACAAAAATTACTTAGTAAGCAGACTGTTTTCTGGTTAAATTAACATACACTGCACACTTACAATTAGTAAACAATTAAAACATATAGCTGAACATCTTGAAACAGTTATGAAACAATCATCATTCCCACACCATAATAATAGGAATTGAGGACCAACAAGGAAATAAGTTTGTTACAAATACAGTGGTTGTCATCCACATTTTACATTTGATCATATTATTACAAAAATAACAAGTAAACTATTAGACTCAACACCACTTCACAGAAAGTTCTAAAATTATATTTAGGAAGCTAACTAAAAATTGCTAAAATTACATTACAGAAATAACATACTGAAATGTGAATTTAGGAACCATAATACAGTTTAAGATTTATGTCTAAGATTAGGTTGTCAGTAAGAACACCATTTTACATTTAGTTAAAAATGTTAACGCCTGTCATATGAAGAAAAATATGTGACTTTTATTGATCATATTCTAATTAAAAATATTTCTACTACTATAAAATTCCCCTATACTACACAGAACCTGAAGAGGGCAGCAAGGCCTACACATTCACCTAAAAGGCAAAGCATGGTTTACAAGCTTGTTCCCTATGAAAATTTTCTGCAAGTAATTTCCTGCCCTCTAGGTTCTTGTAATTTAATATATTAGATACAGGGTTAAATTATCAAAAGGAGCTTTGAACTAGAATATAGCATTGTTCAGCACCACTTCACTAATACTTTATTTGAAAACTAAAATTATCTTCTGCTGCAACTCTTTCCAACAGTCATTATCAAGATTTGGTATTTTAAATAACGTTTTATAAGAGCCAATGATTGACCTTTAATCAAACCGCCCAAATTTGAGAAAGACAAACTCTTTTCCCTGCCAACCACCCAGACATAATTGATACCCTTGTTAAAATTCTTAATGCCAATCTATCAATCACACAATACAGAAGAAATTATAGTATGCAGAGGATTTCTCATCTCCAGTTTGGTTTGTGTACCACAAAAGTACATTATATCCTCTATGTATTGCCTTCTACTAAAACAGTAATGAATTTAAGAAGGAATTTATCTTACAGACTGCTTCAGGATTTCTATAAAACATATGTCTTTAAACATACACACTGTTGCAACCTACTGGTGCTACAGGTGCTAAAGTAAGTACTGGTAGGTAGTAAAGTCATCTAAGATAATTATAAAAATTAGAATCCTTACCCTAAACCCTCGATTGAGTCTGTCTTTCATAATGCCGATAAATTCTTTATAACTCAACTGGTCATCTCTGTCCACATCAAAAATCTTGAACACTGTGTTCACCAAATGTGGCGAAAGCTTCACACCTGTGGCTACATACACAGCACGTTTGAATTCATCTGCGTAAAGAGAACATCAGAAGAAAAAATAAAATACATTACTCCAATCCTACTTTGTGGACAACATATTATGAAATACAAATAAACTTTTAACTTCAGTTTTCACATTTAAGCACTCAAAAAAATAAGGAAATGTGAAAATTAGGATTGAATTTCACAGTTCTAAACCAAGTAGTTCTCAACTGATATAAAATGATACTGCTTAATTGGTATACATTATTTTACACGGAAGATAACAGTCTATATACTATGTGTACTAACAAAATTAGAAAATCATATTAAAATTAAACCTATGTTACATATATACTGATGGCATTTACTTTATTGACACAAACCAGAACCCAAGAAATAAAGCACAGAGAAAACAGTATACTCCTTTGGTAAGGCCACATGAGGTAGGACTGTGTTGGTGTTACTGTGTCAGAGCCACGAAGATGCTACTTGAGGAGACCACACAAGTCTAACCACTTCACATATTCTTCTTCTTGCACTCCCAAGCATCTCAACTGTTGTATTAAAGATTTTAGTCAGTACATACCTGCCTAGTTCTTTCAGCACCTACTTACTGATTTGTTCAAAAATCTGTCTAACCCCTCTTCGGACCTTCTGACACTGTTTCATTCTACAACCTTCGTAGAAGGCCAGATTCCAGATGCCTACTGTGTAAAGAAATGGTTTTGTTTGCTTTAAACTGATCTCCTACTGGTGTCATCAGTTGCCTCTTAACTCTTGTATTGTAGGATTTGATGACCAACTATTCTGCATTTAGCTTATCCACCACTTTCATGACTCTGTAAAGCTTTATCGTATCTCTTATAACTAAGCCTTCTCCTCTCAAAGCTGGAGCCCTAGCCTTTTTAGCCTTTTACCTGAGACATTAAAACTACAAACTAGGAATTAAAAAACATTTTCATATTTTTGTCAACAGTTCTGTATCTTTATCAACATATTGCTGTAAAAATATAAACACTTACCTTGACCTATGGAACGACTTGCAAAATTATACATTTGCATTGCAATTGTAAAGTCTTCTAGGTTGTTCAAGAATTGGAAAAATGATCTGAACTCATCAAATGTGATACCCTAAAAAATAAAAGAACATTATGCACCATAAAAGTTATCAGTAGTGATGACAACTGAATAAATAAACCTTGCAGTTACATATGTCTATTCCATTTAAGAATAGATACTACACTCACTGAAAAAAAATAGAGATTTGTACTGAAAGTCAATAAAGTAAAGAATTAGAGTCTCCTGAGGAATGCAAGAATCCTCTTTGCCACTGCAACGGATAGCAAATCTCACCCAAAAAGCAGTCAAAAATATTATTCCATTGCTTAAGGCAATCTTTAAGAATTCCAGGATTATTATGATACAGCAGTTAATATTGAGAATAGAAGTCTAGGTTTGTGTGAATATTGGAATATGTTTGCTACTGAAAACCTGCAACCCACTATTATATATATGCGAGTGTGTCTGCTCACATAAATAAATTGAATGAATTCGTAAATAACATGTTATGATCTAACTTAAGCTCTGTACTTTAAGGTGAAGTTTTTACATACCTAGATGTAGACACCTAGGTCTCTTCACCTGATACTCCAAATATCAAGTATTGCAGGGTTTGTCCAGCTTTTTAAAAAATCTTTTGCATTTTGACCAGACTTCAGAATATCTTCTGTGAAAGTTCCTCTGACAATGCTGTTGTTAAAAGAGCTTATTTTTTCTTCTTTCCTTATGATATGTGTTCTACTTTTCTCTCATCTTAGCTACAAATCCAAAGACCCAATAAACTATCTCTAAAGCAATTTTGGAAGAGACCTTAAACAGAGAATTTGAATTAAGCGAGGACCATAGCCTATATCTCATTCTCCATGGTCTGTCAGCCATTCTGAACATTGGATGGCATTCTTCATCAAACCTTGATCTCCACGGCCTCCTTTAACTATCATCCCTGGCTACTCTTCTGTCTGCTTTTATCCTATTTAACTACTTCTCCCTGATAATAAACCTGAAGACAATAGAAAGACCCGTGAGCGTTTCTGTTCAAACTAAAATCTTGACCTATGTCTCTCTTCAGAGATATGCATAGTCATTATGGCATGGTGAAACACAGAAAACATACTGAAGTCGGTTTATGACAGAAGAGAAAACAGCAGAGGTTGGGTGTAAACCTGTATGAGGCAGCAAAGTACTGTGGTAAATGTGGCAAACAACATAATATTGTTAAAATAAAAGACTTTAATAGGCCTCCACCCACTTGAGATGTAAACAACTGCTTTAGTTATCCTACTTAAGCTCTAGCTAAGATTTATAAACTGTTTGATTGGAGCGCTTGACCCATCTCCATCATGAATTGCTTTTCTCAACAAGCATATTTGTTCTCTGTTTCACCCTTTGCAACTGGGAGGAAACTCAGACACAAACAGAACCACCTCCTTATTCTCCTTTAAATTTTTCTCTTAAAAGCTTAATTTGCTAATACTAACCAATACTGTCTTCTTTTTTTGTTGCACTTGACATTTAATAGTTTATATCCACGTTCTGTTTTTTGCACTCTGTTTAAACTGAAAAATCGCTGGGACTGGAATAATTTTGTCACATATTTATGACATACCTAGATCAGTGAAACTTCCGTCCCCAACTAGGATGGCTCAGGTACTATGGCAAAATAGCAATAATAGCTGTAATAGAAAATGGCCATCAAAGTCTTGAGCTGACATTTTTAGGTTCATAATGGTTTTTTAAAATCCTTAATTTGCACAATTTTGTCTGTAAAGATTCTGAACATAGGAGATACTCCAAGAGACCAGGCTACTGCAAAAATTCTGGTTCTTTCCATGTAACTAGAGGGAAGATGACCAGTCTAGATGGAAAGTAGCCCTTGCATAGGTAAGGCTGAGAACCATTGGTCTACAAACAAGCCTTTTTGCAGCTTCAGTGTTTCCAGTAGTGATGCAAACTGCTGCCGTGAGTTGACACTGGAGATGAAGCAGGGAGATAAAGGAGCCACAGCTGCAGTCCATGGCTAAACTGTTCATACTCCACAACATATTAGCAATAAGAAAAATATCTGGCTTGATTTAAGAGTTCTACAATTCCCGCTGAAATCATCTGCAATCATACATGTTTATTTCCTCTCGGGGAGAACCAGCAAAGGACACAAAAGAAGCAGAAGGGCAGGCAAAATGACACTCAAACAGAGTTGGCATACAGCATTCTACTGTTTCTCTCCTTTCCTAGGACCATATTTTATTCAACTAGTAACTGTAATAACATACCGTATTTGCCATACGTTTTGCATTTTGGCATCAGAAATTATCTACATGTAGGTAACCCAGAAGTTCCCTACTGGAAACTTTCATTTTCTATGAAAAGGAAACTAACTTTTTAAATTTATTTGGACAGATTATATTTTACTACAGCAAAGAAAACTGTTATAATAATGCACCAATACTGTTAAAAATGCATAGACTTTCTTTAGGAGCTGATATTTGTAGTAATTCAAGATGCCAGCTTAAATTAATCACTATCTGGCATCTAGTTAGTAAAAGGAAGAAAACAGCCTGTGAGCAGGCAGCAGGCCAGCTCAGCATTTTAACATGACTACAGTACACCAAATGATCACCAGGTTGCTTTAGAGGCTTCTACATACAGCGCCACAAAAGATTAACATTGCCAATTGTGAGAGGAGCTGCCTATTTCTTTACAGACCAGACTAATTTTTCTTCTAAATGGAACCCTCTGGTTTGTATTAGTATTGCAGTGTATCACTGCAATAAAACAGAGAATATATATTTTAATTTTTGAATTATGTAATTACAAGTGCAAACAAAGTGCAAACATATGAACAACGCCTCCGTGGTAATAAGAGGCAAAGTCCCATTCTCAAAAGCCTGTGGCCAGCACAGGAGACTGTCACAGGGATTTACTTTCTCCACTGTACTGACAGCACATTTACCAAGCCAGTGATGTGGAGATACGGAAAATGGCAATGTCTTGTTTTACTTAGTGGAGGTATAGCATATAACATACAGATATATGGCACTGGTCAAGTGCCAGGATATTCCCAGAATAAGCAAACCTGTAACTGTGTTACACAGCTTTCTACATGGAAATTTTCCTTAGCTGATGGTCCCATCAGAGATCAGAAGAGGAAACTACTATGGAAGACTTGCTATCAGAACAGTGGCATTGGAAGACTTAGAGATGAGCTTCAAAGAATACTCCCTTTTGTTTAAAAGAAAGTGTCGGTATGTATATTTACTTAATCAACTTCACTTTCGCCATTCAGAGAAGTATTTCTCTGTACCTATGACTGTCATTATTTTTCAGTTACCCAAGTGATATTTATATCATTGTTGTTATACAAGCCCCAAAGTGCTTTTTTTTCAGATTTCCATATATATGGAAATCTTTATTTCACCCTAACCAAAAAACATCTGGGAACCATGCAAAAAGAGCTTTATACCCTTTCTGTTGCACTTTCTTGGCTTTGAATATTGAAAGCTGTGAAGACCTTTTAGAGTAGTTAGAACTGAACACCTCAGGCAGCTAGACTGGGAACTCAGAAAGGGTCAGTGAGAAGGAGCTCTGATCCCAATCTTACCGCTTCATCTTACACCTAATCTGGTGCAAGAGAGACAGCCCCGCTTTCCCTTTCCACTCCCCAGCTATATTTATCTCTCAGTGGACCACGGGAAAAATCAGATAATCAAGTTATTTGAACAGAAAATTGTTAATTTTTAGAGTGTTTCTATCAGGTCAGCTGACTGATCTTACTTGGTAGACTGAAATTACAATGTCATTTCTCAAATAAAAAAAACCAAAAACTGTCCAAACCGATTTATTTTTCTTCACAAGCTCTGCTGTCAATGCTATCAAAATATATAGCTATTGAAAGAGTTAAGAACTCTAAGACAGATTAATCTGATCTCCTTCTGTAAACACAAATAGGAGTATATCCAAAACATCCCTTATTTCAAGGGCTACTTTAAACATTATGCTATCGATTACCATTGATGCATAGTTGCCACTACATTTCTCTCAGATACACTTCAGACAACACATTTGTTGTTAAACAAATGAAGGACTATCTACCTCATGTCCTTTACTGTTTTTATTATCTTTTCTACCTCTTCAGCCACTAGTAAGAACCACATACCCCTCAATAATTATATACAACTGATCCATTAAGACTATAAAACAACTAGATAAAGGGTGTCAATGTTACTTCTGAAGAGGTGCTATTCCAGTGGCACTGCAAAGGAGAAGTAAGAAAAAAAAGGGGGGGGTTTAATGCCTCATTGCTAGAAAATTGTTCAAGTCTTATGGTTTTTGCTATTTAAATGGAATTTTCATGTCATATAAAGCTTTGTTATCTAAATTTCAAAAATATTACTAGCTAAATCCTATGGAACATAATTCTATGCTATTTATTCTTCTACTTTTTATTTAGCAAATAACCTGAAAAACACGTCAGTTTTTCTGAAAAACTTCAGTCCAACAAGGCTGTTTTCATCTTGATGACACTAGGACTGGATGCTGTGGCCTATTGCTGTCCTAGCTAAACAATTACCTTTTCTTCAGGAATCCTGCAGCGCATATTTTCCAGGTAACTTGATGTATTTTCCACATTTGTATACCTCAGAAGAATATGGGCAAAGTCTTCCTCACTGATGGTGTTCATCCCATTAGAGTAGGAAAGGAATTCTATCTCTAGAACCTCAGTTTGCAGGTTATCCATAAATCTAGAGCACAACCATAAAGATGAAGAAATGGTAATACTTTATATTTATACTATTCATGTCCTTAAAAGACTCATAGAATATAAAGCCAAATAGCATTATACCAATTAGTTCCCTTTTCATAGCACTGATGGTAAATCTGGTAAATCCCTTATCCATGTTGACATATTTTCTAACCAATACAACAATCTTAATTCAAAGATGAATTGTTTTAGTAAGGATTAAAATTACTTATTACTTATATTTCTGATTTACTTCTAGTTTGCTTAATTTTCTTCTTCAGTGGGTCACTGATCTTTATTTTTCTATGCTAGACTGAAAATTCCATCATGGTACTAAATGAATTCGCAAAATTTATTCCCCATATAGTTACTTACAAATTGCGATAAACCTTACCTTTCTCTTTTTAACAAGCTAAGTATGATGAGCTCCTGCAGCCTTTCAATCTCAAACTTTTTTTTTTTTTTAATACTTCACTATTCTTATGATATTTCTGTAAACTCTTCCCGACTTAACAACATATTTAGTATATTCTGGACACCAAAACTCAAAATATACTATGGATCAAATATAAAACTAGCTATATATAAAAAGGAGATTCTTAACTTCCCTGATTCTGCTTGATGTCCCAGTTGTACAACCAAGGATGAAATTAGCTCCCAGCACTGGGAGCTCATGTTCATCTGACTGTCAACCACAACCTGTAGCACTTCCCTGTTACAGGTTCCCAAGAGTTACCATCCTGTAGACATTGCGTGCAACACTCCTTCCCAATACATAAGAACTATGTATTCTAAGAACTATAAGGAGCTCAAATCAAAAGGATGCCTAGGCAAAAGTATAAGTGCAAGGTAAATGTACAATAATATTTCCCTCACCAATCCACAGTTGATTTTTGATTTTTTGAGCTGGTAAGGTAGTGTTGAATAAAACTTGATGGATCCCTCTTTCATGAATATGTCTGCTAGGTTTTAACCTCTTTAGCATTCACAACGTCTTATAGCAATAGATAGACATTTTAACTAGATGCCTTTTTCAAAAGTACCTTCTTTTCTGGTTCTTGTTTTGAACTCCCATCATGATTTCACCTGATGACACAGTTTTTATATTGTGTCAAATACTTCCTGAATACTTTTCATGACATACATAATTTTAATGCAAAATATTTTGCAAACATCTAGTTGATTAGAATGCACAGTTAAATGATAACTATAAAGACAACAGGTATTGAGAGAGTATTTACTGAGGAAACAACAACCAAACACTGTATCTCTTTCTATCACAAAGAAATATACATTTTTGTGGCTCTGTTTTTATGGCACTCTCCCTCTATTTTTAAATTCTACTTTAACTGGTGCAATAATTAAACCAATAGCTTCCACTGTGCTTTAACTTTTTCCCAGAAGAAGCTTGTTCTAAGGTGTCTACACAATATCTTCAGAAAAATATTTACATTTAAATATGTCCCTACGAGCAGAAAAAAATTCCTACATAACAGTAAGGACAAGGTTGGGGTATAACCTCTCCACCCCAAACCAAATATGCATACAAGTGCTAACAAACTTTGCAAATGCAGCAGCATCAGCACAGGACTTTTTATTGCTGGTCCACTTATTGTTCTGTTTTGCTTTTCGTATATATAAGACACACAAGGGGAACATAAACTTTATATACATGTCTGCAGAAACTATGTATATAGTAATATAATAGACATTAATTAGAACAAGCATGCAAGTATTTTTTTACAAGGAATTAATAAAGTTGAGACTCACCTATAAAAATCTTCAAAGTTCAGTTCAGCTTTTCCTTTCTTGCCGAAGAAGTGTACAAGCAGTGTAGTATCTGATAGTGAACTTGAAATATCATCAGCACGCTTAAATATTAGAATAAAAAAAATTAAAGGCCATGATTGGATCAGTTACAGAAGTATAATCCAAGAATCCCTATCATCACATCAGACTTTTCTATTAAAAGAGTTTGTGTTTTATGTTCAGAGTCTTAAAAAAAGACTTTAGTATTAAAATCCATTACATTAATTTAGTCATGCAATTTTCACACAAAATAGCACTAGGCTGTTAATTGCATTTAGTAGAAAACACTTAAAACAACAATATAATATAATGGAAGCTGCAATGAAGGGGGGAAAAAGCATGAAAAATAAAACCAGAAACTCTTGAGGGAAAAAAAAAAGTTCTAGTCAGTTGAGGTAAGCCATAAAAATAACTCCCTTTGTACACAACCTTCTTCCCTTCTACTATGCAACTACAAAGAAACTAAAGGAAGTTACTTCATATACTCTTACTTTATATTTCAAAATTATTAAGTATGGGTTTGTATTCAAAACCATTCACATTAGTCAAGTGTACTTCATATGATTCTTTTCTATAAGTAGCAGATGACTACGGTTTAAATTTTATTGCCCAAATATATTTAAAACAGAATTGTAAGAAATCTTGAAATAATGAAGTAATATTTTGACTCGTTCTCTTAAGAATGTTCCTCATCAATCCAAGTATGCAGTCTCTGCATCAGACAGGAATCTTTAAACATGTACTAATGTGTTTTCCTTAATAAATAACTATCAACTTTGAAGGCACAGAATCAGAATAGTAAAACCAACTAATTTTGACCATTTGCAATAGCACAAATTGTAAATAGGAAGACACTATCATCAGTATATAAACAGAAGTAACTATCTATCTTCTGCGTATACTGATGGTGCAATGTTTCACTTTTGCACTACATATTCACTACCCTTAACTCTTGTGTATGTGCATTGATTTTACCTCTTTTACACATAAACTCTTGATATACTGAAGAGCTAGAAAAATAATTCAGTAATATAAGGCTCTTAAATAAGCCATAGTATTCCACCATGGCAATGTCCTTCTGGCACTCATATGCATCTGCCAACATTTGAAATTCAAAAAGTAATATATTTCATCTCCTTGCTGTACCTGCCTAGGGAGATCCTTCTGTCCAAGCTCTCATTTTTCTTACAAAGACAAGAACTTATGAAAAGCGAGGAGTGGGAGCCAGTAGTCTCTGCTCTTCCTAGGCAAGCTACCACCCAGCATCATCGTATTTTTGTGGGAGTGTGCCTGCTGAATACACAGTACAGAAACCTAGCAGGTGTCTGGGAGATGTAACATCACTAATTCATCACCATGACAGATTATAAACCTATGAGACTTACTGTTAAGTATAGAAAACTTTGTACAGATCTATAAAGGTCTGCATATACAAATCTGCAAGCTGCATTCAGAGTCCTTTAAGTCTGACTTTATTTCAGAACTGAAGAGGCTCTAAATTTATAACAGACAGAGAAACTCTAAATGAAGAAACTAGGAAGAAATTTTGAACAGTATGGAGTAGTTCAACATCATGTACCATGAAAAACCACTTCATATCTACATTCTCTGAAATATACTCTATTATTTTCAAATTCACATACTGATTTGTAAAAAAATGTAAAATGCAATATCCATTAAGAGTATTTATGTATCAACAAGGAAAAACATGAGGCAGTGACAACACAAATCCTTTCCTTTCAACATCCAAGAACTAAAGAAATGAGAGAGACTTTTCTGTACTTTAGTATAATCAGTTTAGGATTCTCAAGATTGTATTTCATGTACTCTAGCTTCCTCTTTATTCTCATATTCTTCTCCAGGGAGAAATAAGATGACATAGTGTATAACAGGTAGAGAGATATTTCATGTTCTTCAATTAAGACAGCTCTGCTCTTCGAGTGAGCAAACTAATTCAGAAAAGTAATCACTATTTGTCTTTTAATATTGTTATCCTCCACTACAGGACACAATATACTGAAATGCAGATACCCTGATTTCTTATGTCTTTTAAGCAATTAAATCCCTAAGCACATTCAAACAATTTCCCTCAAGTACACTGAAAAGGTATCAAATGTTAAATTACAGCCTTTCATCTTGCAAAAACATTTCAAAACCTTAGACTTAGGTTGCATTCATCCATATCTAAAGAACCATTTAAAAAATCCAATCTGCAAGTCTTTTCACAATTCCCACTTGGTCAGCCTCTCCAAATGAAAAAACCCCATACAAAACCCTCACCCCAGAAACTCAACCCAGTATGCTTCTCTGCAGAATTGCAGGCAACTGAAAACTATTCCTGTGCTCCTTCTGCTTTCAGAGCATTATACAAATTCTCTCTTTTAAGGGGTGAGGGTAAAAACAAAAGCCTTAATAATTTAAACCTATTATTTATTGTTCATAATAAAATGAGTTTTGTATTTTAATCAGTGAAAATGCAATGACCATACCTGTTTCCATACATACAAATATGAGACTTGCTTTTGATCTAATATATTTTGAAGTTTTTAAAATGAGCATAAAACCCTGCCTCGCTTCTCTTTACCTTTTCACTAACTGCAATACAAATACAGGTAAAGAGACAAATAGGAGAGACAAGTGTTTCAGTTACATTATTGGCTTACTGTGCAATGGCAACATCATTTCCTCCCATTTTCCTAACCTGAAGAGCAGTATATATATTTTTTTAATATTCTGCAAAAATACTTTCAAGCTTTTGATTAAGGAGAGTTGACTAAAAGTAAGTTAAACTCATGAGCAATGGTTAACTTGTAGCAACATATTCTGAGAATGAAGTATGCATATTATGCTTTGAGTTATTAAGAGCTTTCTTACTGCAAGTCCTTGATTTTTCAACAGTGATAATAACCCTACTGATTTCCAGTTTCATTTAGTAATTTAAGAATAAACCCGCAAACTGAACACAGTGGTAAATGGCATATTCCAACAGGATGGTGTAGTTGCTTTAAATTAGGAACAGCAGAAACAACACAGTAAACTGTCCTGGGAAGAAACTGGATTTGATAAATAACTTTTTTCACCCAAAGAGACCTTGTAAGTTGATTCTCATAGCAATGAACCTTATTTACTCTCCTTTTCAACTTACACAAGGCCTTCTCAAAAGGCTCTGAAACAACACAGACTCCAGTGTCACCTAGCTTTATGCCACTTTCTTAGTACAGATGGCTATAGTATCATTCAGATGTGAGAGTACCTGGGAGGGATAAGCATATGGATGAAAGCCAGCCAGCTCAAACTTAAACCAAGCAAGATAAAGATGATTATGGTGAGAAATGGCAAATTCTTAGTGGAGCAAATGAAGGAAAATTAATTCATTTTATGAAAAAAATTGTAAGTGAGCAGAGAGACTTTTTATACATTTTACAGACAATTTAAATCAATGTTTATTTAATATAGCTGCTGTTAAGCTTCAATTACATTGTAGATTACAGATACTAGCCTGAGGCATCAGATGTAGAAAATCTCTCTCTCTTCAAATTAAAGGCATGTGGAGATTACCAAACTTAAGTCCATCTATACTTGGGACTAAATTCATGCCAAATAACTTTGGATTATGATGACAGTTAATTCAGAAAACTCAGTGCCCCAAGCTCCTTAAATAGTCAACAAAAAGAGCAGCTCTCTCTGCCTTCTGTATCTCCCTCAGCTGACTAGACAGGAACACTGATGTTCCTGAGCTTTAAAATTGGGTGGAATAAATAAGGACTAATAACTGGACTGAGGAGCTCATCAATATAAAAGCAAGGAAAGAAAGGCTGGGTATACTGCTTTACTGCAGGATTACTATGAATGTATTATCCTATGAATATTGCTATAAATATTGGTCTAAAACTCAAGTTCTGTAACACATCTTGTTTCGTTCAAAGGCAAATGAAGCTGACAGAGGTACAGGGAAGGCCTATGTGATACCTGGGACATGTAGGTTCTACCTTAAGAGAAAAATCAAAGACCTTGCTTCGTTTAGCCTACAATAATTAAAACTGTGGGCTATGACTACATTTATAAACACAACCATGAGTAAGAAGATTAACACCAAAGAAGAAAAAGCCCTACAAAAATTAAGGGACAACAGACTGGTGTAAAGGGATTATGAGTAAATGTAGCCTGGAAATTAGAAAAAGTCAATCCAAGTCCTCAGGTTATTCAAGAGCTTCTGCAGAGGAACAGCAGGGACAAAACACTAATTACTTTTAATATGGAGCAAGCATTGCTTATGAAGCAAAGAAAAAGCCTGTTTTACCCTGGAGGTCCGTTTCAGTTACACGTTCTTTTCTCATTATGATCCTGCTTATGAAGCATGGGACTTGAGCCCAGAGAGTCAGTGGGGAGTTGCTGCATGTCCGTTAATGCCACAACCAGCAGAGCAATCACCCTCACTGTATGGGGCACAGACAAGCCTAAATGATCTAGTTTCTAACTCTCTTAAATGAACAGTACAAATAAATGTCTGACTCAATTGTCTGAAAGCATACCGTGAAACAAGAATCTGAACAGAATTTAAATAACTACGGAAATTAATTTCAGAGCACAGTGACATTGCTAGTCCTCCATAATGATCGTGTAATATTCAAAAAGACTGTTTTGGTTACCTTAAAACATTTCTGGTTCAATTGGACAATTAAAACAATCTTTGCACGATACTGTTTTTGTGAAGATAAGCTTTGATAGCATCCAGAAAAAGCACATTAAGGACCTAAACATTAAAAGCTCAAAGGGCTGAAACTCTCATTAAAGTTGTCACATCACTGGACCAAGTCTAAAAGACAAAGGTTTCCTGAATTATTTCTCTAACTGTGAAATATTGTCACTATTAGTGTCAGAAAATGTTTTTTACAGTAAGGACTGAAGAGGACTCGATCTCTCAACTCTTTCAAAGGATAACTTTGTTTTTACTTGGAAATGACAACTTTGAATTATTGCACTGCATGGAACCAAATCAGTTTTATCTGAAAACTTTCAGCTTTAAGAAGAAAAAAAAGGAAGAAAAGAAACAAAGTGCATAAAATAGGAAAACAAACAGAACAGAAATAAATAAAATAGCAGTCTGTTTATGGACCAGAGACAGAGGTTGTCTTATACCTCCGCGAGGTCCGAAAAGAGTGCTTGGCTTGTGCTACGTCTCAAAGTATCCCAATAGCTTCTGGGGACAAGGTCCTCTCCCTCTGTTTTAAGAACCTGCAGAAGTTTCAAGAAGCACAATTGTTTGAAAACCAAAGAACAATAAAACAACTGTTTACAGACTTTAAAATCTTTTCCAACTGATCATCAAAAGCATGGCTTCATTTGTATTACTCATAACCTGGCTGTGCCAAAAGTATCACCAGACTCCACTTTTCCAAATAAGATAATTTAGAGAGAATATTTATTAAAAGTGCATTTGAAAATGTCATCTAAACTCACTATTTTGCTGTATGTTTTCCCAACAATTCTTTTTTGCCAAAAAATATTTATATTCTTATTATACAAAATTTGTTTTCCCATTGGTCAAAATATAAATGCTACCATCTAGTTAGTTATATAAAATTAATTTCATCCAATAATCAGGATGACATCCTTGCAACAATAAAGCAAAGCAAAAAACAAACCTAGTAAGTCCAACTTCAACTGTAACGTACTTATCAAGAGAACACAATGCATATCTGATGATCAAACTCACCTTGTTTAAAATGAAAATAAGTGTTTAATCTCTCCAAGGAAAATTTGCTTGCTTACCTTTTTGCTCTGAAATGTTTCATATTTGGAAGCCTGAAAAATCCTCCCTTAGTAAAACAGGCCTTCCTTTATCTTGAAATTAGTCTTGGAAGATCTACCTAATACATTTCTTACTTTTTCTCCCCTGCCCCCTCCCCAAAGAATCTAGGGGAGGTGATCCTAAAGACAGCAGAAGGCTATCTGAACTCGGTTAGGGTTATTGCAACTGAACGAATTTTCCTCTTTCTCTCCAGAAATCAATGTAAACTAGGTCGTCTACTTTCAGGGCTTCCCACTCACATCCATCTGGGCACGCAAGACAAAGACAGAAAGAGTTTAGTCTTCTAACTACAAATGAAAACTATTTTTTTTGAGTCAGCACATACCATTCTCTTAGAAGTTTTACACTGATGTGATCGCTGTACAACGTGTAAAACCACATTGTTATCATAAAGAATACTGCACAGAGTTGACGGTTTATTGTCTCTATGTATTCCACATTATGTCAATCACAGGAATACAAATTTAATTCTTTAAACAGTTGAAATATAGCATGCTTTCTATTTTTCTGTTTTCCCTTAATGTTCTTTAGCACAGTATCTCCTCAGGTCTTCACTATGCTTGAAGTACATCCAGTAGTGACACAGTTACATGAGTGAAGACATTATTTAAGGGCTCTTATCAATGTAATGGGCTCAGTGCTTATGGGACCATCTTGTATTCATTTGTTTCAGCTATATTTTACATGCTTATAAAAATGCGTATGTACATGAATGATTATGTAAATTTATATCATATACAAATAATGCTCTTAGTACACAATAGTAGTAGAAACAATAATTCAGCAGTAAGTCAACATGTAATTTTAAAAAAAAGGTAAAAATGCATTAAGATACTTAATATGAAGTGTGCCTGGCTGCAGAACACTGCAACACATCTCCTGGAAGGAAATATGCTAAATAACCTAAAATTTTTTTCAACCTGTGTACTGCTTTTACAAGTTCTATTATGTACTTTCTCCACTAACCAATTCATCTCAGCTCTTTCTGTAAATTGTCATCAAAGAAACATGACGGACTACCAGGAATTATACCCATGCTTAATGTATATTATACTTTCGTTTCCTTTTTGAAAAATTCTGGTTTTATCTTTCTCTTATTTTGGAGTAACAGTTCCTACGCTGTGGCAACAGTATTCTCATATATAACTCCATTCAGTCCTAAACTTCTAAATTCAAATAAATTGGTTTACTTCAGTGTGTACAGGATAGGTCCTTAGGGCTTCAGTTTCTCTTGTACTTATTTATCCCTTTGGTATTTACTGGGTCATGTCTATGAAAAACACCTCAATTCTTTATCCATAAAATAATGTAATATAGCTATTTTAAGTAGTCACTGAATTTGTTCTCTTACTGGAGATTTACTTTAGCCAATGGAATTAGTATTTATGGGCATGCACATTTTATTTTCCTAACATGCATCTCATCCTAACCACCATGTTCCAGTTGGCATTTGGCTAGTAGAAGCACTCATGCAATCCATGCTGAAGTAGTCTTAACACACAACTGCAGTATGCACCAGAACATGACTTGAAAAAATTAACTTATGCAAATGAAAAGACAAAAATATTTAACCTATTTGAAACTTCACTGTGTGCACCCTATGGCTTATAGACCTTGACATTTCTCAAAAAATTAGAACTGTTTTGAAAGATGAAGTGAGGAAAAGGGCCCAGCACAGCACTTTGGACTATCCCAGACTTGTCAGGGCTGCACCACCTTGTCACAAGTATCTGCATTTCCCCAGGACATCAAAGGAAACTGAAAAGGCTGCTAAAATTCTTGTTTCAGTAGGAGAAATACAAATAAAAAATATCAATATTCTGGGGAGGGGGATTTGTTGGGTACTGTAAATTCCTATACATCTGAGTCTCCTTTGTGTGGAGATCTCAATTCAGGTCACAGGGGGGCAGGAAAAGATGGTGCACACCTGGGTATCATCTCGATACAGAGTTAGGATGGAGCTGGAGCGGACCACACCTATAAGGAGATTTTTCTACTAAAGCTGGAAACTATGACATGAGTGGGAAAGCCTAATTAGTTTGGTTTCAGTTTGAAATAGAAGGCAGCAGAGGAATATGGCAACCACTGTACAGCACCTTTCCCCGCAGTAAAGCCTGATCTAAAATCCATTGAATCACAAGGCCCTGCATTTCCTTCTACGTTATTCTCACAGCACTGCAGTATCTACATCATGCTGCTGCACCTTTTCATTCAACAGACTTCCTCCATACTGCCCAAACTGTATGTGCTAATTTCACAGGAAATAAAGCTATGCATTCCTGTGAATGACTTAAAGACTTTAAAACTGTAATTTCACTAGGTATCTAATTCTTATGGGTTCCCTTCCCTCACTTTGAATATCACAATAATCATACCAAAACAAGTTTAACTCTTCTATTTTAACAGCACACCAAACTTTTTTACAACAGTTTTACTTCTGCTGTGATCCAAAAATGAATCAGGTCAGGGTGAAGACATTCAAAACCCGGAAGATATCTCTCTTGTTGATCCTCTCTGCCACTCCTCAGAAATGATTGAAAGTAAGTTTACTGTCACCTACATAATACAGGGACTGTTTTCTGTAAAATCCTGTTCTAGTTCAGCACTGACATTTCTTATTTATTTGTTCTGTAAGTGAAGCACAAAAATATAAAAGCTCTCTTCTGGTTTCTTTTTATTTGACTATTACTTCACATTATACACACGGAGACACGACAGACCTGGATCAAATGACTCATGCAGGGTGACTTGATTTACATACATTAATTAAAACCAAGTCTATAATTTATTAAGATATACTTTGTCCTTTCCTTTAAAAATATTGTTTCCTTCATTTTATATAAACAGAGAGAGCAACCTTTCCTGCTGGTAGGCTTGTCTGTTTCAGAATGCATGCAAGAAGCATGCACAACCTTTTATGCAAGTAAAGATCCATCACATTTTTACTGATTAGCAGAAGTAATTTACTTGATGAAAAAGACAACTACAGTACATTTTCTTATATTATTTCACCTCACTGGTGAAGACTGCATAAATTGAAAATAATTAGAGTACATACACTGTTAGTAGAAGTATGATATCCATAAAGTTGAAGATGCTGACATACAGCAAAAACGGGTCAAGCCAAGTATCACATGTCAGAATGAAGCCAAAAGAAGGAAAAAAAAAAATAAAGACAACAGAATAAGTTAAGACAAGTAAATCTTTATTTTATATATTATTAGATTTTATTATTTGTTTTTAAAATGACAGTGAAGAAAAAAAGGTTAATTTTCAATCTCATTCTTTAAATTTTCAAAAGAGAAGTACAGAGTTGCAGAGATTACTCTCAGGAGAAATGTTCCATTTTGTAATCTTTACTTTTTCCAAAAGCTCTTCATTTGGGTTTAAGTTTCCTTTGTTCAGAATAAACCGTGTGTGAGAGATTCAACAATTGACCTACAGTTTTGAAAAGTTGAGAAAGATAGGTCTCTCTGGGTCTGAAGAAAAGATCCCTTTTTATGCTCAGGGAAGGTTTAAAAAGTATTAATTCTTGAAATTCAAACTTCCTGTGGGTTCAGGGACAAAGAATTGAGATCAAGCTTCTATAGTCCCCAAAGGATAATGGGCACTATGAGAAGCTTTGCATATATGTCAAAACATTTCTTATAATAAGGAATTTTTGCCATAAATATGTAAATCGCAAACGAACACATTTTTTTCTGCTGTGGGCTTAACAGAGGCTTGTCCCTAATTTTTACTTGTCCGACAGTAAAATTAAGTTCCTGCTACTGCTGCCATCCTCCAGACAAACCACCACAGACTTGTCTATTTCTGACTTACCTGTCGTAGGCATATAAGAAAGGCAAATTTGACATTAAGTAACAATGAGTATTCAATATTCCACAAAAACCTTTTCACATAATATAAACAACTAAAAATGTTTTGCATTGGTCATAAGTAGTATTTAATAAAAAAAATTAAATTGGAATAGAAAATGTAAGCACACGTACAATATCAGCTATTTTAAAACTATTATGTTAATAACAAGTATCAGTAAGTCTGCAGGAACATTTTCCATTGGTTACGAGAGGAGGAGTTTGGTTTGGCCACTGAGCTCTCTCACTCTTGTAGACAGTAACACTGGGTTGCTGCTATTCGCTTTTCCTACATTTAGATTCCAAATGGAATCAATGCTACTGTCATAACAGGTAATGCAATACTTAAACCACTATTTTTTCCTTTCTATAGACCACTTTTTTTTTTTCCCCAATAACTGCCATTTAGGCTAAATATTGCTTTTTTCTTAATATAGTTATACATATTCTTTTAACAATATGAATTTATTGTTTTAAAAAAATTTGAAAGCCATCAGTGCAAAATATCCACACACACACTTTTGTCCTACATCAAAGAAAACAAACCAACTACCAGCTGCAACTATTCTAATTTTACTTACCAGCATTGCACGTTTTTCTTCATCTCCTTTTCTTTCTCTCTTCTCATTCTTTTTCCTGAAAATCTCTTGTAGCTAAAAAAACCCACCACATTTTGTTCTTATTTAGTTTTTAGGCTATTTCACATGCATAACAATCATTCATCATATGGAACACTGCAAACAGTATTAAAATATAGTACATTACTAAAATATCAGTGTTTCAATGATGCTTTACTGTTCATATTCATGCCTTCATGTTCCTTCTGTCACCTTAACCACCACACAGAAAGGAAAAGTAAGTATTTTTTCCATAAAGTAAGGCTAACAATTCTATTTGGGAGCACAATACTAAGAACATCCTATTTAGCATTATATATTAGCCAACCCAGACTATACAAAAAGGGGGAGTTCCAAACCACCTCCTTTCTTGTTGAGTACTAATTAGTATCTGTGTAGCTATGTAGGCAGCTTGATCAATCTTTTTTTCGTATTGTTAGTTTCCAACCAGATCGGTTCTTACTCCCGCTGGCACAAGGGAAGGGCAGAAACACCTGGTGGAGGTGAAAAATTCCTCTTCAGCAGCAACAAACTATTACTCAAGAGTAATTTATCAAGTATCAGGTTTTTTCAAGTCTGTTCAAAGAATACCTTCAGGTCTTGCAAAATACCCCTTTTGCAACTTTCTCTACATTAAGAGCTTTAAACATGACTTCTGAGGAAACCTCAAATGCAAGATTTAAAACATACAGAGTTTATTAAACATTTATTTTTGGAAACTGCAGTCTTCAGACTAAGAGATGGTCTGTACTTATCTCTCTTTGCAAGAAGCTGTATTCTTTAAATATTTTTTATTTATAGTAATACTTATTAATATTTGCAAAACATTAGAAAAAAGTGACACCCTATTTAGTCTTCACAGGAGACACAGCAGTATTACTATGATCCCATCTATATCTCTACCAGTGCACTTCAGCTTTTCAAAAATCGCACCTGAAAATATTGTACTGCCACTTGTAGCATGTGCTAATCTCAGAATGGCTGAAAAAAGAATAAACACTGTGGCTGGCAAATTTGTCCTATCTAGAATACAGTATTTTCAGAACCAAACATCATGGCACACAGATGGCGGTACCATAACTACACATTTGTGGCAGTTGTCTCAAAGATCTGATTTTACCTACCAGAAGTCTGATAAAAACCTGATACAGTAATGACATGCACACAGAGCTCCCCAGGGATTGGAACGTGAAAGATAAAGTGTGTGTGATAAATTTTGCGAGCAAATTTTCCGAATTTGATTTCAGAATACCGTATTTCAGAGAAGTCAGATAACTAAGACAAAGGGATCAGCAAATTCTACTGCAGGGGTATAACAACACTGAAATAAGTGAATACAGTGTTTAGCAATTAAATAGCAAACGCATTTATAAATACTGTTTTATAAATTTCCAAAATTGACAACTGTGTTCTGGAATTGCCTATAAGGCAAATACAGACCAGAATATTGTGTGTGTCACTGTACCTATTTTTGAGTACGGGATCAATTGCAGTCCTTGGTATGTTTTTTCTAATTTTTTAAAACCTATAGGCACAAATTACTGTAACATATGCTGACAAGGAAGGAGTCATGATAGGACATTTAGCAGGATGGCCTAGAGTATTACACAGTTTGCAACCCAAAACTGTGGAAAGAAGAAAGGTAAATGAAGAGAGAGCAGTAGAAAGAAAATACCTTGTGAAAAGTGACAAGCCATCAAGTAGAAGAGTGGCAGTAATTGAAAAATCAAAAAAGATTGGTAAAAAGCAATGCATCCTTGGATGTATTTCCCCTGCCACAGAGGCAAAGGGAGTAGGATTCTGTTGCATTCATCATTAAAGCACTTGCTAAACTTCTGGAAATAGATCTTTTGTTCAGGAGGAGTGCTATAGGATACCAGTGAGCAGAAAAGTGAATGCGAAAAGGATCTAGGAGTACTTTCATAGGAACATTGTTTGAAATAGGATAATGAGACTGACTGCTGAAAGCAGCAAAAACAAGATCTCCTGTAACAAGGGAACACAATCCTTCTGTTCCCTGACCTCACCCCTATGACATAAGCAAAGAGGAAAGCACAAACACCATGGAATTAGTTTACAAAACCACTAAAGCTGTTATCAGAAAAATTAAGTATTTTTCAACTCTTCACTGCACGTACTCTTCTCTTCAAGAATCACATCACATGTGATCCTTACACCAATCTCTTCAAAGTCTCTTTATTTGCAAAACTGAACAGTATTAGCTATAATTCCGATTTTATGATAGCTGACTGTAATCAATGGAGAAGTATTTTGCAAATGATAGATACAGTTCAAATGGCAACACTTCCAGTCTCCTGCTTCCAGACACATAGGAGATGATGCATACCCCAGCAAGGTAAGTACAGATGCCAAATGTGTGTTCTGGGGCCAGGTCTATCACAGCTGCAGCCTCACTGAATCAACTTTTATTTTCATATTTACTTTTATTTACAAAGACATTGTCTATCTACCTACATATCTATCTGTTTTTGTCTTTCTCACTTCAGATCTAACATTCTGACTTATGGGTTTTGATCTAATTTTTGAAGGGTCACTGGCATAGCAACCAAGCAGAGTTAGGGTCAGGTTTAATCTACAAAATTTGTTAAATACAATAATAGGTGGAGAACAGCATATCTACTGTTTGAAAATTCTCCTTTCTTTTTTCTATCCACCAAGTCTGGTAACAGGAAAGGGTAAGAAGGAGAAATTTTTATCAGGGACCGTGACAGAGAACAAATAAAAAGTAGGATGTGAAGAGGACTATAAACGCATAGATGGAAAGAAAGATACAATCAATATACATAGTCAAATGTTGCCCTTGCTTCCCACCTTATATACTGATTTGATCTCATTTTCAGCATCAGTTTCTGAAAGACAGCCTCCTGCTTCAATTTCCTCCTACTTAGCTGTTTTAATGGAAGCCTTTTTGGTTTTTTTTTTTTTAAGTTGTCAGACTATTGCACCACATTGTTTTATGGAGTCAAGGAAGACTTTTTTCTTCTTCTTCTTCTTCTTCTTCTTCTTCTTCTTCTTCTTCTGTTTTTCCTTTGGCCAATTAATCCAATCTTTGTTGGCTTTTTCCCCCAACCAGAGGAGATGGTTATTAGGAACTGGCAAATGTAAGGCTGTGTACATTCAATATCAGAAGACAAAAAATTGATCAGCATGCAACAAATTGCAAGCGGTGACCGCTTCCAAAATAAATGAGACCTGTTTTGCTGCAGCTATGCCACCAGAAAACAAGTCCCCCAAATCTCAGATCTCAGTCACTTGGCTGTGTGTCACTTCTTGAAAAGAAGAATCGAGGGAAGTTCAGTGTGTTGAGGACACTTTTCTTTCACATTTCCATTTTCTTTAGGTTAGCATAGCTTATCTGAATTGAGCCTTATAACTTGACTTGAAAACAATTAAGAAATGGCACACAGAAAATTAGTGTGTCTTCATGTTAAATAAATAGTGATCTGACACTTAAATTCATTCCGTGTGTCTGTTTCATTCTTTGTATTTTGTTCCATCATTTTCTTCAGTAAGGCAGTGGGCTTTTTCTCGTATGTATTTACTGTACTTATTTATAAACTCTACACAAAAAATGTATCAAAATAAGAACTGATGTCTTCTGCAAATATCTTCTTTAGAAACATCTGATTCAATTCTTATAAACATTTCTTTCAAAGTCTGTACCTTTTAAAACTGTTTGAATTTCTAACCAGAAGAAAAATAAACTCTCTGCTTAAATAATTAATAAGAAGGACTTACAGAACTACTTTTTTCAAGTAACAAACCGAGTAAAGCTCTAGTTTGAAAAATACTGTAATTCAGACTCATAATGTAAGAAAACCCGCTATGCAACAAAACTACTGCCAAGTTCTAAATGTCCTGCCAACTGTCACAAAGCACATGAAAATTATTCAGCTCAAAGTCAGTTTTGCTATCATGAATATTCTCCTTAAAAAGAAATCAGTGAACCTCAGCTTAGCAAATTGCTTCAGCATATGGTTTTCATGGGCTGAACTAGATATATACAGTACAGTAAGGTTTATTTCATTACAAATCTTGTCCAAAATAGATGATCCTGTCAGTCAATATTTTCAGGTCACCTGGGATTATAAACAGAATGAATGATAAAGTGAAGTGGTCTCCCAGGAAAAGATTATTTCAGAAGTCCCTCCATCATTATGGCAATTAAATAACACTACTGACCATTGATACAGCAGTATTACTTTAATAGCCTAATTATCTATGAATGTAGTAGCAATTAAAAAGATCCAGAATAAAAACTGGAATTAAGCTTCAAAAATCATTACATACAACACCCCCATGCACTTTAATAAGGAAATACTATTTACATTACATTTATTATTTACCTTAAATAAGGCAAATAAACAAGTCTATTCTGTGAAGAATACCTCATGTTCTCATGATTATTGACATCACCACGAGTCTCACTCCAGATGAAAAAATGGATTTCAAGATTACATCAAAATATTCAAAGACTGAAAATATACATACCACTAAGAATTCCTTTTTGTCCACCATCTCATTGCCATCAGTATCAAACATGTTGAAAGCGATCCTAAAACCTGCATGTGGCTCTGCCAAAAAAACCCCATTCAATTATTTATTTCCTTGGAAAGAAAGCAAATACAAAACTCTAAGAAATTATTTGGTGTCTGTTTATAAAAGCCATATCCTCAATTAATTTAAATGAGTACATTTGTGTACACAGTAATTGTAAATCATAACACCTGTAAAATATTATCCATGTTATGAAAACAGAAGGCACACTCACAAATTCATAGATTAGGAGAAATAGAATGTGAAATATAAAAAAAAAAATCTCACAGTAACGGCTGGTGGGGTCATTAAGAGTGTTAGTTCATAACTAGAGTCCATTTTATGTTACAAAACAATTTGTAGAAAATAAATTTCCTGTGAAAACACAGTGTTCTAAAAGATACCTTAAAAGGTTTTGCAAAAAAGGTACAGGATGCAACTTCTGGTCAAAAGAAATGATGTGTTGAAAGAGACCCAGAATTTTCTTGTTTACTTGCTTAGAGTCATTGAAATTTGAAATCAGGTCAGAATTTTAAATTATTTCCAAAATGAGGGGACTTTGAAGGTACTGTTAGTGAAGCCTTTAGGCAACATTTTGGTGACACTCAGTGATTTGCAATATGGATGAATTATGGCCCATAGTTAGTCCAGATAACAAAGAAATGATAGAAGAATATCCATCAATCCAGCAGTTAGGGACTGTAAGGGTTCAGGGTCAAGTTCCTGCTTTGATTCATAATAAGAATCTAAACCAAGTCTGAAGAAAAACCCAATTAATCCAACAGAAATTTTTTAATTACATACAAAGGAAAGACAAGTAAAACACTTAACTCCTTCCAAAAAACACCTCTTAAAATACCAAAACAAAGTCTGTATCAGGCTTAGTTTACTCTAGCTATAAGTTCTTCTACTTTGTTTTTATGGGTGGTGGAAGAATAAGTATTCAATTTTGTTAGTGTTTTGCAACATAAATAAACATTTACTTTGACATATTTTATATTTTATATTCTACATTCTATCACTGCCTCATTGATGTCACCCATTATGTACTAATCGGTGAAACAAACCAGTAATAACGTATATCTTTCTCTTCTCCCTATATTCAATGTCCTTTATGAACTGCTAGAAACTGCTAAACTCCACTAGAAATTTTGTAGGAATTTCAAAGAAGAAAATAAATTTAAGCTTTTAACTGGGGTTTAGCTGAAGCATATGGCTCAACTTTCTCAACAGCCAGTAAAAGGTATTCTCGATAATAAAGCACTTAAATAAAACATAACACAAGATTCCAGTAGGACAGGAGAGGTTCAGATGGACACAGAGATGCACGGACACAGAGATGTATGATTCAGAGCTCAGAAATTTGTAAGGAAGTTTTGGGGGGTTTTTTCCTCCAAAAATACTTACTTGTTAAAATACATAAGAGGAATAAATATTCTGTGTAAGATATCACACCTGAATAAAAACAAAAAATGTTATGCCATATTAGTTTCACCTTGTCTTCACATCTTAAATTTGAAAATATTAAATCTATGTATGAGAAGGAAAATTTTTGTATATGTGCATATGCATACTTCTGTACATGTGACTGTATTCAACCTGGTCAATGGGTTATTTGTCTAAAACATTGATCTATGGGGTGGGGAGTTTTTTCTGGGTGTGTGTGTGAGTATTTTAGAGGAGGAATACATTAAATATGGCAAACAAACAACTAGAGTCAGTGGAGAATGGCCCATTAAACAGAAGCTGAGTAGATTCTCAGATGCTAATAGAAACTATTCATTAGATTTCCTTTCCAAAAACCACACCAGTAACTCATGACAACACACTCTAACAGTATGAGAACATTTACTCTGAGAACATTAATAGTGCTCCCTCCTGATACAACACCATTTGAATACAGTTTTTGACTTTAAAACATGCTTTGTAAGTGCATGTCCTACGTTAATTGAAAACTTAAGCCTCATGTTACTTATGAAAGCATAGATTTGGGCTCTTGAGTTGTCTTTAGATGCACATTTTCATAATAATCACCTGAAAGTTCTATTAAAACTCTTACTAAATGAACGTGTAAATTTTGTTAAATATTTTTAAAGCCTGTTAGAGACATTTGTACTATCTCTTCTTCTACGTTCTGAAGATCTGTAAGGAATACATTCTAAGATTTTCATCTTTTGTTAGATGTCAAAAGGCACTCACAGTGTGGAATGGCACTTCCTTTTCTTTTCCAAAGAAATTAAGGCAAAGTTTAAATTAGAGCTGAAGTCAATATCCAAATAGTATGTCTGGTGCCATAAGCTGTACTTCTGCTTTTCTAGTTCTTGGGTACAGAGATAACCTTGCAGAATGCCCATCGTACCAACGAAGAGAAACATCTTACAGTTCAGTAAGAACTAAAACCAATGATTTGCAGCTCTCCCAAAACCCCTTAGCTCTAATGATCTTTGAGGCTGCACTAGCAAAATTGGTTCTTGATTTCTAACCAATTGATTTTGTCTGTTCTCCAAAACAAAAAATGTAAAGTCAGTCCACAATATTAGATATTTCAAAAGAGTAAAAAAAAGGTATTTAGATGCCTGAGAGTAAAGATGCCTATCAGCTGGGATTTTCAAAAGTTGCTGGCTGTCCCCTTGATTTCAGTCCAAGTCAGGTGCAAAAGTTTTTCTAAAAACAGCCACATCTTTGGATGTTTAAATATCTTTCAAAATCTGACTTAACTGAATATGTGACAAAACTATGTAAATAGTAATCTGATTTTTTTTTCACTGAAAAACCTGTAAAACTAAAAATCAAAACATTGTATCATTCATGTGGATTTGAACACATTTAACATCACCACTTCCAACACTGCCAAAGTAAGAAACGTTGGCATTTTCTACTAATATTTACAGCAGAAAAAGTCCTGAATTAATTCTGTCCTAAAATAATACTCAGGAGGGACTTTCTGTGCTCTTGAAGAGCTGAGATAAGAAAATCTCAGCTATATTTCGCTTGGATCTGTCCAAATGCCTCCCCAAACCTTTGATCATGCAACACATCTCCCTAAAAGCCAACTGTCCTGAAAGAGGAGAGCCTTCAAGAGAATCATGTCTACTATCCTGAAACATAAAAGAAAAAAACAACCAACCACAGAGATCTCCAGAGATATCACAGAGACTGGAATATAAAGACAATACAAAAGAAAGACAGCTAACTAAATTGTCTTTGGAACCAAATCACGTATTAGAAAGAATCACTAAAACCCTCAACCTTTACCAGCTGAAATGCTGCCCTCCCAATTTCCATTCAATTCATGGAAAAAAAGGGTATTTTCCCACCTTTTGATCCAAGAGCAAACTTAAGTCTTCAGAACTAAGATTTTACTACTGCTGGTACATCTAGTTAGGAAGGCTACTAAGTATTTTTAATACCACCTACTCTTTTCCTCAATTTACACACAGGTCCACACTGAAGATTAGCAAGATTAAATGCAACCATTTAAGTAACTCATGCTCTATGCTTCATCTTCTTGTTTTTACACAGCATCTTGCAGAAATTAAGTTTTCAAAAGCCTGCTTGAATCTGTTTGGACAAGCAGCTATCAAGTAATCAGATACCTCAAAGGTTTTCATTCAGTGATGTAAAACATTCTTTAATAGCCAGTCAATAAATGTAAATAAGTATTTTTGTTTGTTTGATGACACCTTCTTTGTTGTAAAACAGAGGAAGAAAGTGCAATTGTCAAGTAGTCCATCACAGGCATGAAGAGAGCAATATAAAAGGCCTTGAAAGCATTCTCTCCTTTTGTTTTTACTGGTATACTGTAGCTGTAGACAGATAGTTCTGGTTGATTGCTCTGAGTGTTATGGGAGAGAGGCTCCAAAATGTCAATTGGACAGAAAGAAAAGCTTACACTAAGATCAGAAAGAAGAGAGGGATGTCATTCAAGGGTAAAACAAAAATAAAACTTCAGGACAACTGGCATAAATCTGTGTGGCTCATCTGATTTAAATGAATCTATGGCTAAATAATTGACTGGCTTTTGCTACTTGCTTCATATTAAAATGTGCACATATTAAAGAAAATGAGTAAATTAAATAACCACTAAATCAGAATTAAGGAGACCTGAATTCTATTCCCATTCCTGTCACTGGCTTACTGAATGACCTTAGCAGTCATAAGACCCATCATCTTTTCTTATCATTATCTACAAAATGAGATAATGGAACCCACTTTTTCCTAAAGCACGCTGAAAAGCTATGTAAGCAGTAAAGTTTATTACTAATTTTACCAGGTTATTACACCAGTTTTGAGTTCTCTCAATTCCATCAACTTCTGTAGAATTTCACAGGCAGAAAACTGGAGTAAAATATTGTTGAATCAAGATTGCACATTGCAGACATTTTATTATAGATTTAATAAGCAAAATCCAGATTATTTTTTTAACTGATAATCTACTGACTTTACAGATTTTGAAGCTGAATTTTTATGTAATTGATATTTCAAAATTCAGCTGTTCTGACTATATAGAAAGCAGCCTAGTGCAAAGAAATACAAGGAAATACAGTGCAAGGATGGGCCAATCTCTGCCCCTCTGGAGTTCTGGCTGCAGACTCAGAGAAAAAACTGAGCGCATCCATGCACTAGATATTGGAGCCCAGGACCCCTGTCTGAGAGTTGGTGCGTACTTACTCCTTTAATAAATTTGAGCTGCATTTGAATTAGAATCATCAACTACATGCACACGTTTGATTGGAATTTTGTTGTTGGCATGCGTATTCTAAACATTCATAAAGTGTCTATTTTATAGCAAGTACTTGTGGCTGCTTTTAAAAATATTTAAAATGCTCCACCAGACCTTTGCCATTCTGAATATAAGCAAAGGAATATGTGGATTATTTACCACAAATAGTTTTGAAATGTCTGTATACAAGCCATCATATTTTTTCCTGTTTTTTTTTTTTGTTGTTGAAGTGATAGAGCTTATTAATAAAAAAAAAAAAAAAAAAAAAAGAGGAAACCGGGAATGTGGCTCATGGCTCTTCCTTTACCAGTCGTGCGAGTTTTAAAAACTATCAAAGCCTTCATCCGTAGAATGTAAAGGGATATATAGCATTTCTGAAACTGTCTCTTTGTGTTGTGACAAAAATGCTTATTCAGTGATATAAGATACCATTACTGTCTTTAAAAATAATCACATCATGGAACCTACTAAAAAAAGTAAAGAGATACTTTACTAGATACTATGTGTCTTTACTAGAATATTCTATGTATGGTCTATAGATCATTCTTCATTACAACAAACTGAACTTGAAACATTCAAATACTGGTTTTACAAACTCTAAGATACCAATTAACTTAAAGAGGCTAACCGTAAGATGGCATGATTAAAACCCTGTAGAGACTAAAGGGAACTTTTCCATGCTGCAAAATGTAGAAAGCAACAAACACTTTTGATCTCTTCGAAAATGTGATTCAGATTGAAGTACATCATCACTTTAGTCATAATAAATTAGTACAAGTGGTAATTTGTTTCAGGAGAATAAATTCTTATCCCCCACCTTTCTCATTAAGATTACGGAAAAGTTTGGATGATCCTTTCCAAACTGGTGGCGTGTCCATAAGGATCTGATTCAGTTCCTAAAAAGTAAGATTTAAAAAAGATAAAAGTATATACTCAAATATTTAATGAAGTAGTTAACACATTATGAGTAAATGCTAGGAAATCAATATAAAAGACAAGGAAGTGCATGCAAATCTACCGGTTAATTTAGCTACAGTTTACCACAATGACTTTGGAAGTACTCCAGCACATACATAAATTTTGCACACATGGTTATTCCAAGAATTGATCATCTGCATGAATACCAAGAGTTTGCAAAGTTGGAGAGACACGTATTTGTTGCTGAAATTACTCACCACTGCCCATATTCACTGAAGCCAAGGGTAAATCCCCCTGGATTTCAGTAAGTTTTTCATACAAGCTCCAAGTAACTGTTCTTTTAAAACACCCAGCCTGGACTAAAGCAAACTTCACCCATTAATATGAATGTACTTTACTTAAAATACAGGGATGCAGACAGAGTCTCTCTGCAGTTGTACAAATGTAAAAAAAAAAAAAAAAGGAAAAAGGTAAGAGGCACTTAAACATCACAAGCAGTAGAGAGTGGCATGAGTATTTCAGGCAGCTTTGGATACACCTGTTAAACTTAGACAGTAAAGAAACTCAGTCCGATATGGGCTGAGGAAGGAACTGACAGAGGCTTGAGAAAGTCAGTAAATCCAATATAACAAGCACAGCTGCTCAAGTATCTTTGAGATTCTGGATTCAGCTAAGTCTGAAGTGATAAAACAAAGAAATCAAATCTCTCTCTCTCTTTTTTTTAAAAAATAAAGATTTAAAAACTCCCTTCTTTCTCCTGTGACTCTAAGTTCATATAATGAAAGACAGTAAGTGTATCAAAATCTATGGTTATAAGAAAACACAGGAATTATTGCCCACCTGCTTTGAAAGGGATCGCCACTTTTTAGCATCTGCAACAAAAGACAAAGTTATGAATGCACAGAATTTAGTTATACCAATGTGGTGTCATAAAAATTAGACTGCATCTATACTCTGTGTTTTCTAGCCAAAGAAGAGGTATTTTCCCTACTTCGTGAGGCTAATCTTCAACCTGGTTCCAAAAAATTCTCCTTATGTTATTAAAAAAAAAAAATTAGCTTAATACATACCTAAACTCCTAACTTTAAAGAACCAATTCAGATGTATAGCTTTTAATCCAACTCTGCTTCAGGGAGAGAAAATACTTTCTACCTCCAAAATACAGCACTAAAACATTAAACAGGAAATAGAGGGCATTAATGTTAACCGGTGGTATCAATATTCTGAAATTATTATTTAGGAGCAGTAGTATTAGAGTGCAGATTGTGGGGAGACCTGGATTGTGGCCTTTGCTTCAGGGACTACTCATACCTTTTAAAGCAAATACAGAAAAAAATCACTGAAACTACACCAGGTGCTAAGACTTCCCTCAGCCACTCCTAGTAACACAGATTCGTGCTCCCTTTTACAGCCTCTGTCAGGCTCAATTTTTTGTAAGGAGTTTTAACAGAGGAGCTGAAAAGGGCCTCCGGTTCAGGACTGGAACTGCTTGTTAACACTGAAAACTGATAATGAGTAAGACTGAGCAGATGCTTTCTTCCTGAGGCCTTACATGAAAGACTCTAGGAGGAGAAAAAGATACTCGCATTTGACAACTGTTATCCACAGCCACCCAAGAATGAACTTGAGGTTCATCGCCACCCTCTCAAGACAAACATTTGCACAAATTCAATATTAAGATAAAGCACTGTGAATATCAGAATTCACAAAGGTAGAAAAAGTAGCATAGTATGTGGTCAAATTGATAACTTTTTGGTTGATAAAGGCTCATTTTTATAGAGCAAACCACTCTGTGATATTAGAAATCCTTTCCTTGTGATAATTAATGCTCTATTAAATAATTACCATGATATAGAAACTACTCATGATGGTCCTTCATTAGTTCATGCTTAGAAACTCACTGAAATTTCAGTTTTAAATCTTGGTAAAGGTTAGCACCAAGACTGTCTGGAAATCCCACTCCAACTATGGTGGAGTTATAACCAGCAATACCATAATGTGAGCCAACAGATTTTCATATACTTTCCAGTTTAATTTTTTAATGTCAATTAAAGTCTTGTCTCAAAATACTAAACAAAACCCAACAAAACAACCTCATTTGCCATACAAATTGATATACGTTTATGCCTACCATAAGAAACTTGGGGAATAAATACATCTAACTTTCCAATCAGGTAATTTCCCAGCCGCATACATTATATATAGATCTTCTCTAGACAAGCAAGTGAAGATTTAGTGTATACACCTACTTCTTACAGCTCAGTATTAGGCTAAAATTACTATAGTTAGAGCTAAAGGGAAGCTAAGCTTCTCTTAATTGGCTTTCTAAATATATAAATGGATATTCAGATGACAAAAATGTATCAAGCATAACTGTTAAAAATATTATATTTTCCCAAATGAAAGCCTGCACCATAAAGGCAGCAGCAACAAGTAAATTATAGCATTTATTTTATATTTTTTATAACTGTCTGGAGTCAAAAGTTACATTTTATAAAAGAAAATATACTCTTACCATATTAGTCAGTGTTTAATCAAAAAAGGAAGTGAACACCCTCTTGACTTTTGTAGGGTTTACAAGATTTCCAAAGTAAATCAATCACAATAGGTGCATTCACTCCATCACAAATCTCATTCAGGTCTAGTATTATTAGCTTTTCTATAAAGCAGACATAAAAAGCTACTATTACTGCTCTTCAAAGGGCATTTTTGCTTTCTGACAAAACTCAAGACCTTTCTAGTCTTCATCTATAAAAAACCCAAGCGTATGTTCTTGTTTTTTTCTGCAAAATACAGATGCTCCAGTATGTCAGCCTGAATGGAACCAATTATTTACAACTTGTGACTTATTTACAAAATGATCCAAACCTACAAAACATGATGTTTAGAATGTATATTATTTTATTCATAAAAATACCTTCCTTAAACTTACTGCCTTCCATAGAGCAAGACAGAAAATTAAGACTTGCCCCAAACAGACCAAGCGGTACTTTGGCAAAACTACAGTACAGAGGATAGAATTAACGCAGTCAGAGATTAGAAGCTGGAAGTGGTAAAACCTGCAGGTCATCTACTTCATCTATTACTTCCTACTTGTCAGCCTTCTGTCCAAATGTCCACAACAATATGACTTCCACTACAAAGAAGCCATCCCCTTCTACTTAGTTACAGCCTCTTACACTATCCTTTATAATTATTATCTCAGTCATGTAACCTCTGATAGTAGTCTATAAAACTAAAGGACATCCAGGTTACTTTTGCTTTCAGTCTCAAGAGATGAACTGGATGTACAGGAAGGATTCTGATACAAACAAGGTTTGCTACACTGAACTCAGAAGTGTGCCTGACCAAATCTCTTCTCCTTTGGCACGAGATGAACAGAATCTCCTTGTGAGCTTAATGCTTTTTGGTTTGGTTTGGTTTTTAAAATCTGAGTATTTGCTGTGAGAGAGAAGGAAGCATAAATTTAATCAGCATGGAAAAATCTTAATAGCAAACCATATATAGTATATGGTCAAACCAGTCACACTGTCATAAAAGGGAATTAAAATGAAATGTTTAACTGATGTCCAGTACATGGCACGAATGCTTCATGACCATACATGGTGAAACCCAATTCCACAGTAACAAAAAAAGGAAGACTTGGAGATCTGGGCAGAGTAGATACAAAGAGCTGATGTGTATTTGTATTAACTTCTGTGATAAGGAATCTGCTTCCTCTCTTTTAACTGCAGAGAAAAAAAAAAATAGACCATGAAGATTTGCTTTCTGGTAATAGTTTCAAAGTTTTGCAAGTTTTCACTATCTAAGCTCTGTCTTCTGTATTCACTGTTACAATGAGATTATATCTTTATTCAAAAGTTACACAAGTTTTGATCACTGATGTGCCATGGCTGAATTCTTTCCTCTTGTTTCACTACCGTTAAGAGAACAAAGGGGAAAAATCTAACATCTGCACAGAGCTTTGAGCTCTCCTCTGACTGTTTTAGCTGCTTTTGACTGTTCTCTATACTAGCTTTGTGGTGTAGACTTTAGGAAGAAAGACCTAAGGTGAGTTATTATACTTGTCACACCTGAGCAAAGATATTCACTTTCCCCAGAAGTTGTGTGCTGCTACCAATGCACTGCAAGCCTGAGGGCCAGGAAATCAAACTAGATCAGAAATGGATCACCTTACTATTTAGTCACTCTTTGATACTTAAAGCAAAAATTTTACAGTAAGTGAACTAAAGTCAATAGTTTATTTTTCATTAATTTAATTAACATGTATGCTAACTCTGGCAACTTTCAAGTGTAGAAAGTGGATCCCCTGGGGGACTGAAACTCTGACTCAAAGAGTGTTATTTAGAAAGCCGTGATACGGTTATGCAATCTCTGTAGGGCAAAAAAACCCCAACATGATAGCAGATGACAATTTAAGTTGGCAAAAATTGCAAAACAATGCTATCCTAAATTATTTAGAGAACTCCCATCTTGCCTGCCTATTTGCACAGAAACTATACAGAGGAGGAGGCAAGAGTTCTACTGCAATACTGGCCTGCTCAGAAAGAAACCATAACTGTAACTGTGTCAATATAAATGGAACAAATGAACTTCTTGACTGTCACGCCTGTTGAGCTCTGTGACCTCTAAGACAAGAACTAATGACTAGTATACAGGTGTTCACAATCTAATAAAAATCAGGGTTGTATGCACTTGGATACCATTAAAAATTAAATTCTGGAAGATGCAGTACCTTTTTACCACAATCAGAACCAGAAGTAGTAACCAAAAGCAAATGGAAAAATAACATACACCACTGGAATTTTCCCTAGCAATTTTATCAATATAAAAGTCCTGCTTACGTTTGGGTTCATCATTTGTGACAGCCTGAATGAAGTCATATGGAGTCATATACAGCTGTCCTTCAAATTCTAAACTGGCAAACCTACGAAACCGTTGCTCCCGAGGAGTTGCATAAAGGTGTAAATCTTCAAGGTCTGATCTGTTTTCTGTAACCTTCAAAGACAGAAGGAAACAATTTTAACATATGAAAAAAAGTTTGGGTTTACAATTGCTACTGCCATTCACCATAAAGGAACTATAAATGTAAAGGTGATAATTCATTAAGTCAAATGCATCCAAATATTTTTGTATGGTAAGAGCTGAAACTACAATCAGGATTTCTGTGCTACAATTTCCAGTATTCTATAATTTTAGCAATGAATTTTTATCCACTGAAATTGTTGACACTACCCAAGCTCAGAAAAAAAAAAAAGTAAAAGGAAGAAAAAAAAGAGAACTTAGGCTCTTGAATCACAGAAAAGGGCAACTTCAACTCAAGGAGTCCATGTAACTTCAGCAGTCAGACTTCAAACAACTCTGCTAAAACTATTTCAGTTGTCTGACATTTCCAGAAGAGAATGGAATAACACTTTTTTTCATATTGCTTCTTAATGTAGAGTACAGCTGTTGACAGTAATAGGCAAGACACCTCCATAATTCACTCCAGTGTAAATCTCCTACGGATATTGCTATGTCAAGTATCCAATGCAATTAAAGCTGCCGTACTTGGGGGAATAGAAGAAGAGAAGAGCACAATCATTCCTCCAGGGTTACAGAAGTACTATGTGGCATGAGAGTTTACAGATGTCAGGAGTTCCTGGTATAGTTACCATCCAGCTGATTTACATGTAAACTTGGTAGAACAACACTGTAGGTAAATTATTACATCTTTGTATTACATTGTCAAAACTTTTAACAGGAAATACGCTACCACTATCTGAAAAAGTTTTTTAGCCCTAATAAGGCAAGCTCCTCTGTGGAATCAGTATCTTGAAGAAAATCTAAGTATCTTGAACTTTTTTTCAGAGGTCAAATAACCAACCCAAACTGTTTCATAAAAAGAAGAACAATGATATAGCTCAAATAGGAATGCAGCATCTTATCAATGAAATATCCCAAGCTGCCACTGTCTTCACTATTCTTGTCTTTTCATACAGCATCCCTAAAATTCTTCAAGTGTCAAACCAAGGAAAGGCAACAAGTAGCACATGGTTTAACTAATGTCTATGTTTTAACAACTAAGAAAACAGCCAAATACATTTTGTTTTTCAGAGAGGCATCTAGACACAAAGAGAAGTTGGGAGATGTCTGCAGTTGCTGTCCGCTAAGAGGTTACAGTCCTCAACTACAGATGGAAAAACTTTCTAAGAATAGGTTTCAGGCTTCAGCAATTAGAAGCAAAGGCACACTTATATTGGGCAGTCCAAAATCTGGGCTCTCTTTCCTTCTGCTTTCCAAACATCATCCTTAATAACTAGAACATTAGTAAGACTGTTGCAGTGAAACAAAATTTCATGGCCTCAGTTGTAACGAAGAGATTAAATTATGTTTGTAAAATAGACACATCAAAAATGAATGTGTCTACAAAACACTTTCTATTTGGAAAAAACAAATAAAAAATCACATGTCTAATCACAATGTAACAGAAGACTCACAATTTCTTGATTTTATATTTGGGAGTTTTAGTACTTCAATACTTCAGGACATTTTATCCAGCCTTCTAGAAGGAAAAAAGACTATTGACTGCATAGTTCTCTTCCTGGACTGTTTCTAATCTTTTTGAAATTATTGCTTCTGTTGTGTGGTGGTGTGTGAAGATGTTTTGTTTCGATGGAAAAAATTGTCATAGAAAGTAAGAGTAACAGAAATGCTTATACAATCATTTAATTTTCAGTAGACTGCTCTACATACAAGCATTCTGCACTTCTGCCTGAGAAGCAGCTTTAAACCTGGTCTTTGTGGTTTTTATCGTTTTCAAATTATTACCAAATTAAATATGGGGAGGAAAAAAAAAAATCTAACAACCAGACCTACAAACTCACCTCAGAATGACAGAAACAAGCTGAATTCTCTTTTGACATAACCACATGCAAGCCAAAATACTTCTCTCCTATCTCACTGAATATTATGGCCTTACTGATGTTTCAGGAGTCCAGTGGTATTCAAGCTATGCCTTCATGTGGGATTTACGCAACTCAGTTGTTTTGGTAGAGCTTGTAGCGACATGACTGATTATCTCTGTATTTAAAGTTTAATAATCTACCTTATTTTTGATACATATGTTATTTTACCACTATTACAAACATGCTTTTGAATACATGCAAATTGTAAGCATGGGTAATAAAGCAATATTTCTGCAAAGTCAATTTTCAGAAAAGAAACTGCTTCAAGGCCACATTACACATGCAGTATGTACAATCGATCGAAATAATTTTAAACTAAAACAGGGCAGATTTAGACTGGATATAAGGAAGAAATTCTTTACAATGAGGGTGGTGAAACACTGTAACAGGCTGACCAGGGAGGTAGTGGAGGCCCCATCCCTGGAAACATTCAAGGCCAGGTTGGACGGGGCTCTGAGCAACCTGATCTAGTTAGTGGTGTCCCTGCTCACTGCAGGGGGGTTGGACTAGATGGCCTCTAGGGGTCCCTTCCAGCCCAAGACATTCTATGACTCTATGATAATCAAACATACATACTCAGGAGAATCTGTAGAGAATGTATCACTCAAGAAATATCATCTTAGTTTTGATCACGGCTAATACCTGGAAAGCATGTTGAGATTCTTCGCTCTCTCAAGAAATTCACACTATCTCAGGAACTACTGCTTAATATTTCACTTGAGACACTTAGAAAAGCATTTGCTAAATTCTCAGACATATATTTCAACATTATCTTAAGTACTCTATGCTACTATAAGTATAAAATAACATACTGCAACATGGACTTTTCAAGACACACTTAAACTTAACTCATGCCAGTACTCAGGTCTGCAAAACCTTAATTTCTGTTTCATTTTAGCCAATCTACAGTTTCCCTCTGCCATTCTTTCATGCTCTGGCTCAAAGTCATTGTAACCTGGTATGAATACAGCCTGCCACCAAAAAGAACAGTACCTCCCTAAAGGCTCAATACCCTGCACGCCCTTGCTCTGGCACTTTATGTTCATTTTTCCAAGTGTCAAACTGGATAAGGGAACTGGTCTGACTGAGAACTTTTTGGTTTGGTGATGGTGTTTTTCAGCCAGATAAATGCCTGGATTTACCCCACAAGAACAGTTATTTGTTTCAAAACCTAGGCAACAGGAACTTGCAGCTTATGGAAAAGAAAATATCACCTGTTCCAGCAGCAAGCTCCACTTACTTCAAGTTGAAGTGATGGGAAAACTACAGGCTTAGGCATAATTTTATTCCAAGGAAGAAAAATACCACTTTAATTTGAACTTTGTGGTTTTATCTGAAAGAATCAAAACAAGTTGTTTCTTCTGTTGATCCAACATGAATTCAAACAAAAGTATACAGGGCTTAATGTGTATTAGATCACTGGTCTACACACTAAACGTCCAAATAAAAGCAAGGTTTGTCTGCAGAATAATCCAGACACACACCTTAGAAAACTCACAAATACAACAGTCTTTGGGAATAGTATTATTTTTTGTCCAAATTTCTTGTTCAGAGCTTTCCCTATTCTATTACTGCTTATCAATTTATTAATTATTAGGAATTAATCATATGCTAATTAAAAGCCAAGCCATTCTAAAGTCTGACCTCAATTCACAGCTCTTCAGGCATTCATTTAAGAAATTCGTCTCAACTCCTAACTATGAAACGCCTCATGTTTTCCCCAACATTAGCAGATCATAATCCAGTGAGGCAAGGATGAGAATCTTAGTGTCACCAATTGCTCTCATTTGATTTACTTCATATTTATGCCCAGGTTAGGCAATCTTATTGTAGCAATATTAGTATCAAATCCAATGGACAGATGAATAAGACACAGAAAGATGTTGACTACCTGAGGGAAGGTACTGCTGGTGAAGGAGTGAACAGGATTCAATAAGATTCCAATTTCTATTTGAAGTTTCAAGAGCTTATCCAGACTAAATCTCTCTGTAATTATCAACAATCTTCAAAAACTTTCATGAAAGTACATCTCTCTGACAAACAAAAGAGGGAGATTTTTTTATGCTTCTGTTTACTAATCCTCTTGGCAATGCTGCCTACTAATTACTATGATCTTGTATCATGTTTGGTTCTCTGCCTTTTAAAAACTGGACACAGCCATTTCCTTCAAGCAGAATGTCATGAATCTCCCAATAGCAATATTATCTTAATTTTAGGCATAGCAGGTTAGCTCTGGTTTACCTGCACATGTACACCAGCCTACTTTGTTACTAGAACTTTTAGAGGAAAAAAAAGCCCCACAGCTGAAACCAAGAATCTAGCTGGTAGCCAGAATTTCCATCCTTCCAACTTCACAACTCATGAAGTAAATAAAAAGAGGCAGGACTGAAGCTCATCAGCACTCACAATCAATATATTATTTTTTCCCCATTCTCAAAAAAATCCAAGCAGTAATAGCTGCAATCAAACAGCTCAGGGTTGTCAGCCCTCTGCCCTTCCTCCCTCAAGCTCTGGTACCTTCTTGCTCTGTATTTCACCCCCTGTCCTCCTGTGCCATACCCTTGCAGAAGGACTGCAGAGGGAACACAGCACCTTTTTGGAGTGCTGCTATGCATGGTCTTGGCTTCCATCTGCCTTCTGCAAAAGCAGGAACAGAGACTGTGTGGCTCTTCTAAGTTCAGTTTAAACTAGCTGAGGAGAAAAAATGATCTTAGCCTGTTTTCTTGCCATTCCCTAACACAGAAATGTATATACACATACCTAATTCTCACATTTCAAAGCGCTTTCTAAAATGGATTAAATGGATTCAGCACTTGTATGCAAACCACCACCAGGCAAAGGAAATAGGGAAACATTTCCCATAAGAAACTCCATTTTAACGTCAGCTTATCAAAACAAGGTCAGGGTACTTCTCTGAGTGGAGAGTATCACTCTTCAATTATGTGT